ATTATATACTCTATATTGTTTAAAAATTTGAAGAAAATAAATTAAAATATATTTTAGAAAGTGATTTTCAAAGAATGATTAAATTTATTAGTTTTGTATAGTAATTATTTAGTTACTAGTACATCTAGATAGAAATTATAAAACTACTCACCCAAGTAAAATCGAATAAATTTAATACGCATCATTTGAAAGAATTAACGTAAATACTAATTCCTTTAAAAAATACAAAAAATAAAAATAAGTTAATTTAGTATAGAATTATTTTTATAATATTTACAAACAAAAAAGTTAAAGTTAAAAAACAAAGTTTTGGTTGTCCATCTATTGTTCTGCTGCGGCACTTATTTTTGTATAAATCCATGCCTTTTGGTGTACATTTATATGTAAAAACTTGAAACAGGAATATTAAAATGCTCAAAAAAACTATACAAAAATTATATAACAATCTCGATGAAGAAATTTTTCAAAAATATTTTTGTACGTTTCCGAAATAATGTTAAAAATTAAAAGAAAAATTTGCGAACCGGAAGCATTTTAGGCAATATATATTTTTGAAAAAATGAAAAATTAAAGGATGAAGAATAATTATATACATATTTATTTTATCATCTATGTATGTAAATACATCTCTAACAAAAGAAAGTCCCATCCCTCGACAAGTTTACAAAAATAATAATGGATAATAATTCCATTGGTTAAAAGAAATTTTTACAATTCTATAAACAATAATCCAACAATTTCTTCAAATGTAATAAATATTGTAACTTAAATCTCATATAATTTTTAGTAATTAATAAATTTATAAAGCTTTATTACCAGAGTTCAGATATGTACGGATTTCTCCTTATTTTGTGGTTTATTAATAGGTCGCTGAGGATTATTTTTAACCGAAAATTCTGGTATTTCATGTCAAAAATTAACCGTTCTTATAAAATTTAAAGAAACACGAGATTTTTGAAAATGAGTGATATAAAAAAATTTGCCCAAAATAAAACCGTTAGTTAACTAAAACTCAAATTGAAAACAATGTTTCTAGAGTTTGGATTAACTGGTTATTAACCAGGTAATGAACAATCCTAATATTTATTTAAAAATATTTTACAAATAGTATTAAATTAAAATTAATAAAAATTAGATTGAATGAATTTAATTTATTTAAAATTTTCTTCGACAAACAAAAAAAAACTATTGGATTGGCAGGTTAATACAAAAATATTTTTATTTATTTTAATTATTATCCTCCAACAATCTTTGTTTAGTATGTCACAGGAAGTCTTTTCCTTTTCTCTATTAATCTTTTATTTTTTAGAATATTCTTTCCTTTATCTCAACTTAACACTCTCTCATAAGCTCCAGAAGCGTCATCAAAGGATAATTCGGATATATAAGCTTTAAAGCTAACATTTAAGAAAAAACATTTTTTCCTCTTTTTCCCATTGTGTTGAGGTTCTATTGCCACAAGAATTTATTTAAAGCTGCTTCTTACACTTCTTAGCTTTTTTTCAATAAGAAAAGCGGATTGTTTGCTCATTGGCTTGTCTTTCCCCCTTATACTTTTTTTATTTTACAACGTTGCTTATTTCCCCTTATTACTTAATTCCTCTGCCTTTTTTTGTATTGTGTTTGTGAACACACGATTAGCCTCTCAACACATTTTCTATTAATATAAGCAATAAGAAAAGACCAAGAAAATTGTGTAGAGGCGAGAAATTTAGAGCAATAAAAGTCCTTCTCGTCCCTATTGTTTGCCATGCCGCGAAAAGTAGGTGAATTTAGGAGTGGTTGTTGTAGTTAAGCAGGTGAGAGGAAAATGAAGGGGGCAGTAAGTTGATGAAAATAAAATTAATGGAAAGTTTGCCAAACTATGGAAGGTAAATAAGTAAATATATCTTTAAATAATATTAAGAAGGAATTAACGAACAAAAAATTTATTTTAAATTTTAATTCAGACATGGGATATTTAATTAAAAATTTATTAAATTTTTTAAAAACAATTATTTTATTATGTACAACAAAGCATTAAAGAGAATTTGTAATTAATTAATTTTTTTATTAAGGCATATTAAAATGTTTGATTTTACTTCGAGATTTATTTAAAAATATTTAAATAAAAATAATTTTTTTTAAATTATTTGTGTTACATATAACAATTTAAATATTTTCATTTATTATTTATCTAAATTCAAGGAAAATACTTAATGAGAAGAAAGTGGTTGTTGTTGGAAGAACTTTTCCCTTGTTTTTCTTTTGTTTTGTATATACAAACAATAATTCTTTTAAAAAAGTATTGTTGTTGTTGTTAATATATTTATTTAGTTAATATATTTGTGCATCATGCCAAATGAAAATAAGTGGGATTTTGAGTGAGAGGTTCGAAAAAATTTGTTGTGTTAATGGAAATTAGAATAATAATAAAAAAGTTTTTGTGAAAATTACAAAAATCTGGGAAGAAAATTATAGAAAATACAAATTTATTTACTTAAAAATAATTGCCTCGAGGGAAATAATTAAATAAATGGATAATACATGCAAACTAAAAAATTAAACTTCTGTAGCCCAGTCAGTATTCAGTTAAAATTAAGGAAATAATTATTGTATAATGGAAAATTTTTTTATATTTTTTTGTCTAACTGGAGGATTGCGATTTTACTGATATAAATCAACTAAATTTAAAGTATATTATGTTAAATTTGCTTTTTTAATCAGCCTAAATTTTCGGAAATAGGAATTCCTCTGCTATATATTAGTTTAAAACTCATTTTATAACACGACCACATTTATTCTTGTTTGTTTCAGACCAAAGCAACATATAAATTAAAATTAAATAAAGATTTAAAAATCTTAAAAATTAATTAAAAAATGAAGTAAAAATAAAAACACTTAAAAATATTTATTATTAAAAATATTTTTGAGATCAAAATAAATTACAAATATTAAAATAGTTAAAAATATTTTCTAAACATTTTTATTTTTAATTTGATATAAACTTTAACGTTGGATAAGCTGTGACCCGTTATAGAGTATAATTATTGCTTTTCCTAGCTAATGTGCGCAACATCGTAAAATTGTCCTTTTAATTATCCAAAGTAGTGGAAATGTGTGGAATATTTATTCGTTTGAAAAAATAATCATATAATTGGTCTAGTCGATTGATCTTTTACATTTAATGGTTTATTAAGAGGCAATAAAACTTTTAATTTTATGGAGTTAATTAAATGTGTATTTAATTTTTTCTTCAAAAAGTAAAACTTTTTTAATGGTCTCACTTTTAGGTCTCTTTTTGTTGATAAACAGTAAAACAATTTTGGAAAAAATATGGATATAAATAGCTGAGGTTAATCAGTCTAATACAAGCATTAATAGCTTCTGAAGCTAGCTACTACTAAATAACTAAAATAATTTTGTATAAAAATATTTAAAATAATTTTATTAAAAAATTTTTTTATAGAATCAGATAAAACAAAATGACTAGGTGTAGTCTTTGTTGTGCTTTATTAGCGCTTATTTTAATTGTTAATGAAACAAATGCTGGCCTTTTTGGCAACGGTGATATGTAAGTTAATACTTTTAGTTAAAATTTTTTTAATAAAATTTGTTCCAGACTTCCCCCGTCATTCTTGAGAGGTTTAAGAGTGAAAAAACAGTGTTGCGGTGGAGGCGGTGGAGGAGGCTGTGGTGGTGGATGTGGTGGAGGTGGTGGTGGAGGTTGTGGAGGTGGATGTGGCGGAGGAGGTGGTGGTGGTGGCTGTGGAGGCGGCTGCGGAGGCGGTGGTGGTGGTGGAGGAGGACAAGCAATCACGTTGAAACTAAGCTGTTCAAGCGGAGGAGAAGGTGGTGGATGCGGCGGTGGTGGCGGTGGATGTGGAGGAGGTTGCGGAGGCGGTGGTGGTGGTGGATGTGGAGGAGGCTGTGGAGGCGGTGGTGGTGGCGGATGCGGAGGAGGCTGCGGAGGAGGCGGCGGTGGTGGATGTGGAGGAGGATGCGGAGGTGGTGGTGGTGGATGTGGTGGAGGCTGCGGAGGAGGCGGCGGTGGTGGATGTGGAGGAGGCTGCGGAGGAGGCGGCGGTGGTGGATGTGGAGGAGGTTGCGGAGGCGGTGGTGGTGGCGGATGTGGAGGAGGCTGCGGAGGCGGTGGTGGTGGCGGATGCGGAGGAGGCTGCGGAGGAGGCGGTGGTGGTGGATGTGGAGGAGGCTGCGGAGGAGGCGGCGGTGGTGGATGTGGAGGAGGCTGCGGAGGAGGCGGCGGTGGTGGATGTGGAGGAGGCTGTGGAGGCGGTGGTGGTGGCGGATGTGGAGGAGGATGCGGAGGTGGCGGCGGCGGTGGTGGAGGACAAGCAATTACGTTGAAAATAAGTTGTTCAAGTGGAGGAGGAGGTGGTGGTTGTGGAGGTGGAGGTGGTGGCGGAGGAGGAGGCTGTGGAGGAGGCTGCGGAGGAGGCGGTGGAGGTGGATGTGGAGGAGGCTGCGGAGGTGGTGGTGGAGGATGTGGAGGCGGCGGCGGTGGTGGATGTGGAGGTGGATGCGGAGGAGGCGGTGGCGGAGGAGGCTGTGGTTGTGGACGAAGAAAGCGTTTGGCTCTTCTCCAACGAACGGCTGTCAATGCTGCCTAGATATAAAATTATTTACACTTACATATTTTTGTATTCTACGTTTTGTAATATTAGTTATAGTGCACTAAGGCATTTAGTTGTAGAAGATTTAGTTATTTTTGTATATTTTGTAGTAATTTCTAGCTTGTTTAGAATAAATACATACAATACATTTTAATTTCTTGAATTGATATCTGTTTTTCGGCTGATTAAAAGTGACGGCGGATCCTGAGATCCATATCTTTTTGCAAACTGGAAAATTTTTGGAAGATCCTTAAGCAATGTATCTTCCTTTTTTGCGAATTTTGAGAAATTTGAAAGGCCAGAATTCATATATTTAAAAAATATTAATAAAAATAGGTTAATTTTATTCTGCAAATGAAAAACTTATAGTTACTAATTTATTAAGAGTTTGAACCTTAAACTAATCTCCTTACCCAAACGTATGAACCTGATGCACTATCCAGTAAACCACGCAGACCATTCAAAAAATAGAAAAATGTTTTTTAACCGTCTCAAATTTTCTTTCTTTTATTTTCACGCCTTCCATCCTTCCATCTTCTCTTTTGTCGGAGTCTATAACAGGCTCCGGAGCTTTTCCTTGGCTCCGGAGCTTTCAAAATCTTTCTCCGGCTCCGGAGCTAGCTCCAAACCATACCCATTAATGCTCCAAACAGTACATAAATTATTTTTTAAGTTTAACCTAGCCAACAGTAAGTTCAACAAAAGCTCTATAGCTTATAAGGTAAATTTGTTATTTAGTTTTAATAAAATATTAGCTTTAAATTTTATAATTTATTTAGTAAAATGATATAATTAAAAGAGTTAAAGTATTAAAGAAAAAATATAAATGTAGATATAAATTTAGTAAATAACTTTAAAATTTCACTGGTTCTTGTTGATAAAAATACTTGAGATTTTGAAAAGAAGAAAAAAGAAAGGAGCATAAAATAAAGTGAAAATAGCCTTTAAATTAGGGTTGCAGTCGACCTTTTAGTGTCGAAAAGTTTGGAGTCGTGTTCGGGATGGAATTTGGAATTAGTCAGGGCAGGGCTGCAATCCTATTTAATATTTAAAAATTAATACATGCAGCTAATATGTATATCAACAATTCAATTTTGATAAAAAAGAATAATTAGGTAATAGGTTCAGAAAGTGCTGAAGGCTTTCTCCTTTGCCGAGTTTCAACAGCATTTTGTTGGCCGTTATTAGGTATATGTGTTGTTGTAGATAAAGTAATCATAGAAGATGGATGTTCTTGTTGATTTTGGTCATAATGTTGAAATTGCTGTGGACAACTATATTCTATTTGTGGGCGAAGAGCAAATCTTAGAAGTTCTGATAAACTAGTTAATTCACGTTGAATGTCTAAAAAATTGTAAAATAAATAAACTTTTTTTAAACTAAAAATTTTTTAATGAAATTTAGTTCCTTCTTCAATGAGAAAAAATGAAAGGAGATTTTCATTGTCTAGTTAAAGGAGCAAATTTATTTATTTGGAGATGGAAATATTTTTTATTTCGAGATTTTCCAGATTTAACCTTAACACAAAATCCTCGAAATAATGAAAGAGTGATTCAATAATAATTAATAAATTACCAGAAAGTTGATGTTCAACAGCTGTAATACGAAGAGCCATTCCTTCCTAAAAAATAATTTTAAAAACCAAACAAACAAGCAACAACCTGTGTAGTATGTACATCCCTCATTAAATCGTGGGAATGCGCAGTTGTTTTAGCAACATCCCCCAAAGATACTCTATTTTCATCCAATTTTCGTTGACTGGTTTTTAGCTTTCTTAATGCACAAATAGCAACGAGGAATTTTCTTTGATGGTAACGGATGCGACTTGGTTCGATTTTATCAACAAGACGACGATTTTTATAAATTAGCCAAGTTTCTCTCAAAACATTTGCCTTTAAAAAAAGAGGGGAAATTATTAAAAAAGAATTGTTTGTTTAAAGACAAACAGCAATATGTTTCATTTCTTTTGTATGTTGTGTTTCAATCATAAAATTGTGGACATGTTTTTCTGCTCTAGTTAATTCTAATTTTCTAGCAATTACAGCAACCACCATAGAAGAAGTACAAGTACCCAAAATCCCCGTTACAACGGCCATTATCCTTCCACATTGTGTATTTGGAACTATATCACCTTAAAAAATATTATTATTTTTTAATAAAATTAAATAAATAATTATTTTTACTTACCATATCCAATACTTAAAAAAGTAACAGCAACGAGCCAAAGTGAATTTAAATAACTTTGATGTTTTTCTGCATGAAAATTTAATGTTGGATCTTCAATTGAATTATGCCTAAAATAATTTTTTTAAATTTTTAATTAATTAATTAATTAAACTACCTTTCACATAATCTTAAAATATAACCCCCAATCATCCATAAAGAGGCTGTAAACAACATTAAAACAGTTCCAGGACAAATAGTCATTAAAGTTTTTAAAATAAATTTGGCATCTGTTTTGACTCTTAAAAATTAATTTAATAAAATATTTTTTCTTAATTAAATAAAAATTTTTAATTAAATTCTTAAATAAATATTAATTTCTTAATTAAAACTTTTCTTAATTAATTTTTTAATTACCTATTTAACCCAGCAATTGAACGAGAGGCAGCATCAGTAAAAAGTCTTGAATGTAAAAGCATTACACGACAAAGCCAATAAAGACGGAAAAACATTACTAAATTTATTGAAGGAATTTTTTAATTTTTTAAATAATTTTTAAAGATAGTTTTTAAGAAATATTGTTTATGTAAAATAAATAATAAACAATAAATTATTTAATCAAAATTATTCTATAATTTCTTTAAATTAAACTTACAAATAGAAAAAAGTACATCTAATGGCATACGTTTTGGAACCTCAAAATTAAAAAAAATTTTTAATTAAAAAAATTATTTTCCAGTCAAAAAACCGTTGGCCAAAAATTTCCATCTAACTGAACAGGTAAAGGGCAAATAGCACAGGCAACAACTTCAATAATTATTTGCATACTTTTGCGACATGTTAAAGCAATTTGCCAATCTTCTGCACTATTTGCATTCATAAATAGCTTAAAATAAAAATATTATTTTAATTAAAAAAAATATTTTTATTTACTTGAATTTCATGAACATGATATTTAACAACTAATCCAACAAGAATAATTGTACTTTAAAAATATTTAATTATTCTTAAATTATTTTAATTTAAATTACCTTAATAAAATAACAGTTTTAAATGCTGTACAAATCATAAAATAATGAAGATAGGCAAATTCATTTTCAATTATCATCAAAACTTTAATCAAAAATAAATTTTAAACAATAATTTTAACATTAATTTTACCAATTCCAAATAATGAAAAGAAAAGAGCATAATCAGAAGTAACCCGTCTTTTATTAAATAATTGTTGCCGTTTAATAAACCTTCCACCACTTTAATAAAATTATTTAAAATAATTTATTTTAATTTAAAAATTTACCGTTCTTTTTCTTTAACTAAAGGTTGTTTAACAGAACAATTTATAGATTCATCTAAAACGCTTCCTGGACCTCCTCCTCTTTCGCTATTATTTGTTGGAGGTCCAGGTGGGGCAGAAAGCCCACCACCACCACCAAAACCGCCAATGGCAGAAACAGCACCAGGTCTTTGAGATTCGATATCGCCATCATTAAAAATTAATGAAAGGGATTTCTTCAGTAAAGGATCTCCTTCAAAAAAATTATTTTTAATAATATTTATTTTTATTTTGTTAAAAGTAAAATAGCCTTAATTCTTTAACTAGTTGGGATAAGATAGATAAACTTAATTTTTTGTCAATATTTCATTTAAACATATTTGATAATATTCTCTAAAATATGAATAAAACTCACTCTTTAACCAGCCCAATCCTGTTGGGCCTAAAATTTTTTGTAAAATAGCTTGTTCCCTTTCTTGATGTGCTAAAGACGAACAACGTCTATGTTCAGAATGTGAATTTCCCAAGGCAGACATAGATTCTGGCCTTCTCAATGTTGAACAATTTGAAGAAATTTGAGGCAAATTTTTATTTTTTAATAATCCTGTGGATAAAAGAGGAACAGATTCTTGTCCAAAACTGGCCCTTTGTTGTTGTAAATCATTAGAAAGTCTGCGGCAAGCACAACATTGACATCCTTGTAATTGTTGACTATCACTACTTCCAGGTAATAACGTTAATTTTGGAATATTACTAAAAGCCATCTCACTACTTGAACGTTGTTTTGTTGAAGCAAAATTAAAACGAGTTGGATCTCCTTTTTTGTTATTATTAACAACATTTGGAGGGAATAGAGTAGATTGGGGTGAAGAAGAAAAAGGTGGAGGAGATGTTGGAGCTATTTTATTACTTCCAATACTTCCAAAACTGTCAGAAATCGGCCTTTGAGGAAGAAGAGGAGGATGATGATTTAAGAATTTTTCTTCTTCATTTCTTCGCCTTTTTCCTCCTCCACTTTGAGTACGATTTCGTTGATCATAAGTTCGTTGTAAAAGTTGAGTAAGCTGACTATGTTGAAGTTGAGAAGGAGATTGTTGAGGGGATATCTCACTGCTCAGCATTGCAGAAGCAGGTGGAAATGCTGATGGAATGAACGTTACTAAGCGAGGAAGTGAACCACCACTCCCTCCATTTCCGGAAACAACGTTAGTACTGTCAGCCCCACTGCATCTGTCTACAGTGTTTAGCCTTCCTCGAGGGACACACTTTTGTCTAATACTTCCAGCTCGGTGAAGAGAATTGGCAGAAGAACATTGAGAACAGCACTGGTCGTTTTGGGTATGAACACCTCCACCACCTCCATTGAGAGAAGAAGCAGAGGAATCACCTCCGCCTAATTCGAATCGAAGAGGACAACGACGAGAATGATGGGAAGGAATAGAAGAAGAACAGCAACTACTGTGGTGACTATCTGTATTAATAATGTTGTTTTCACCAATTTGGTCAGTCGCTATGTTTGAGGCGACCAAACGCGGTGAGGGAGCAGACACGCTTGCACAGACACACTGATCGCGAATGCCATGCCTTTATAAATAAATATTTATTTTAATTAACTATATCCATTTCTTTACCCAAGGACGTCACTCATAAGCTGATCTCTTTGCGCTGGTGTTGCCTCACTAGTAGTCCTTTGTTGCTGGAAGTTATTTCGCCGTGTTGCAGCAGCCATTAATGTTGAATATCGCAAAGAATTATTTGGAGATAAGGATCCTTTTCGGTGTTTTGATGTTGCCCCTCGAGCTGACCAAGGCTGACTTTGTTGGCGATACCAACCTTTAGAAGTGTTTGAATCTTTTGTTGAATTTTGATATTCGTTTGCCCCTTGTTGATGTTGGTAATGGTGATTAATTATAGAAGCGCTAGGTGAGGCTGGTCCCGCTGCAACTGTCGTTGCCAAAGCAACCAAATGTCTACCAAGTTCACCTGATTGTTGAGTATTTTGTTGTTGTCTTTCAATTTGCTTTTGTTGTTGTATAAAATCATTTGTTGAAACTTTATCATTAAATTCTTTTCTCATTTCTGGATCTTGTACAGGATGAATACGAGTTGGCGGGGGTGAAATATTACCTCCCAAAAGTGTATGATCTGGTGGTGCTAACCAACATTTTTGTTGTTGATTTTTTTGTTGTTGTTGTTGTTGTTCATCAATGTTAATTATTTGTTGGTGTTTTTGAAGAATTGTATTATCTTCAATTATTTGTTGTAAATTTTGTTGAATTAAATTTTGTTGTTTTTCTTCTTTTTCTTCAAAACTAGAGTTTTCAGGTTCTTCTTCAGCTATACTATTTTGTTGTTTTAATAAAGAAGACATCATCCTAGCCACTGAAACTGAACCAGAACCTCCACTTTGTAGCACTCTTGTTGAGTTACCTGTGCCGTATTTCCCAGTAGATTGAATTACTATAGATGATGAAGGGGGTGTTTGTACACATGTTGGGGGTGGTGACGGGTTTGGAGAACAATGATGAGAATTGGTTATTAATAGACCTCCCCCTGTACTAGTCAAAGAAGAGGCAGAAGGCGATCTTGAAGAAAAAGAATTTGTAGTTGAAATAATTCGTTGTCCTGGGGGCATTAAAGGTTCTCTTTCTGGTGAGTGAATATCTACAGATAAATTGCGTGTTAATAAAGCACTTGATTGACTTAAAGAATTAACATCCCGTCTGTTTTGATTGTTTGTTGTTTTTCTCTCAGAAACTTTAACAGCATTGCCCTTAATCCCTCCATTTGTTCCTGTTTCTTCCAAGAGGAGAACAACAGACGGAGGAGGTGTCCCTTGTCCTCCTCCTTGTCCGCTCCCATTTCTTTGTTTAAAATAATGTGAAGATGTATGTTCGGAGGAAGATTTTGCTTGCTCTTTATTTTGCTGATAATGTTGTTGTCCACTACTGTTGTTTTGTAAAAAACCTGGCCGCATTAAAGCGAAAATTCAATGGAAAAGTTGGTTCCAGTCTGTCGTATTTTTTTAATATTTTTTCTTTAATGAAAACTAAAAATAGGTATTTAGTATTTTTAAATTTTTCTTAGGTAAAAAAGAAATGTGATAAGTACGAGAAAAATAATCTTTGTTTTGAATATTTATTTTGAATATTTTTAATTTAAAATTTTTTTATAAATTAAAATGTTGTTGTTTTTTTATTATGAAGGATTTTAAGTAAAAGGAAGTAAATAAAGAAGATGGAAAATTCTCGGAAAAATAATAAATAAAAGAATATATATCTTATTAAAAAAAATTGCGGAATTTATTTTGTACTAAATTTGTATTTTGTAGAAATCCATTAAAAATATTCCAAAATAACAGCAAAATATCTCCAGGGGATATTCCAAAAAATTATTTCTATATTTAATATCAAACTATTTTTAGTTTTAAATTGTAAACAAAAATAAAATAATAGAAAATAAAGAATTATTTAAGGATATTTATTTATCCTTCAGATATCGAAATTTTTTGATTTTTTTCAAATTTATTTAAAAATTTGTTGAATTTTTATTAAACTACAGATTTTGTTATTTAAAAGAATAAAGTCAAAACAAAAGAGAGAGATATGTATTACATAAAAATATTAAAACCATTCGGTTGCCATAATGAAGCCAGGTGTAAACAAATAAAGTAATTAGAAAATATTTAGTATAGTTAATCTAAAAAGTGTTAGCTGCGCAGGTTTAGCTAATATTAAATAATAATTTAAATGAAAAAAAGGGAAAAAAGAAGGTAAAAAAAGTATTAAATAGGGGGAAATTTGGAATTAAAGTACTCATAAACTACCTTAAAAATAATATTAAAATTATAGAAAATATTATGAAATATTTCGTTCCAAGAACATATGTACGAGGTAATAATATCTTTTAGTTTCTAGACAGGTGAATAAAAATAGTTAAAATTAATAATAAAATATTAATTATTCTTAAATAAAGATTTTAAAAATATTTTAACAGACAAAAAAATTATTTTGTTAAATAAAAAAATGGATTTTTTTAAATAGTATATTTATAGAAAAACATTCATTAATTTAATTTTGTTATAACAAAAATGTGGAAAATAAAAAGAAAAATTATGATAAATGAGGTTAAAAGTTTTAAAAGAATTAATGACAGGAATTAATGCTTATATTAACATACTATTAAATTATTTATTAAAATTAAAAAGAAAATTAAACATAGAAAAAGTAATTAAGCAGAAAAAAATAAAATTAAAAATTAATATTTAAAAATTAACGAAAACAAATAATATCTAAAAATGTAAAATATACTCTAAGAAAAAAATAAATAAATAAAAAATAATTTTCAAAAGAAAATGTTTTGCCGTAAAAATTAGAAATAGTCAGTCGCTCCTTATTGAATGATGTGGGGGAAGGCAAAGTATTGCCAAGTAAAAGGTGCCAACAAGAGGAAAATGTCAACTACATATAAACACACAAACACGAGGTTCAAAAGGCCAAACATTGCCAAATTTAGCATAAAAAAATTTTTTTGGTTGGTAAAAGATGAAAATTATTAGGAAATATTTAATGTGCTTTTCTGAAATTTTTCTGGTTAAACTACATAAATTATATCTTTTTTGGATTACTTTCTCACAATCCCCTATCCTTATCTAAACAAAACTATATCTATAAATATAAACTAATATAAAATTTATAAAAATATTGAATATAAAAGTAAATATTTTTGTTTTTCCTTTTACTTTTTTTTTCTAAAAAAGCTCTACTATTACGTAGTAGATAGTGTTAATATTATTATTTATTTGTATATTTTTAAATAAAAAAAACTAATTGGTTAGCGCAATTCTTTAAAAGGAAATAAGGTTTTAAATTACAAAAAATTGACGAGGAGAGAAATTTTTTTGTTAGAATGTTTGTACTTTAAAAATATTTATAAATTGATTTATAAATATTTACAATATATTTAATAATTTAAATTTACAAGAAGGAATTAAAGGTGTGGAAAGATCGTAAAAATTATAGTCAAAAATATTATTTTAAATTTTTTTAAAATTTAAGGACCATTTCCTATCTACAATAAATTTAAAAAAATTTAGCAATACAATTTTTTTAATAATTTCCAAAATAAATTACCATAGAAAAGCTTAAATAAATGACGAATTTTTTAAATTTCTTCGATTTTCAAAATTGGAAAGAAAAAATGGAAAGAGAACTTTTATTGCCCGCAAGACTTTTTACTCTCCAATTTTACTCCAAAAATTGTTCTCAATTTCCATTTACAAAAAGTTGGTAGATAAAGGATATTTATACATATATCCCTCCACACCTTTAATGTTGATAAATATATTAATTTTAATTGCTAATTAAAAACTGCAAGATTAATTTTTGTTGTATCAAAACAAAACCCCAAAAATAGAAACAAAAAAATAACAAAGATTAATTAATAATCAAAAAATATAGTTTTGTATTTAATTATTTGATTAAACATTAATAAACATATTTTTGATAAAAAAAATACCTAGATTATTTTAGGAAAAATCTAAAAATATTCGTTTTTGATTTCTAATTTATTTTTGGTCTTTTTTAAATTTTATGTAAATTTATTTTATATAATATAAAATAAATTTACATGTATTTCCAAGTGATGAAAAGGAAAGAAGAATTTTTACATTTTTGTGAATGGTTAAAATAAAGTTATTAATTTATTATATTAAAAATTTTAATGCGAATGTTTGTTAGGATTGGCAGATCCTGGGAAATCTTAAAAATCTGGAAAGAATATCCGAACCGAAAACTGACTTTTCGGATCTGGATATCCGAAACTCTTAACCTCAATGATTGAATATTGAACTAAAATTTTAGCATTTCAGGGTCACATGATTAAAGGTCCCATTTTAGACATTTATTTGGTAATCGAAGAGTTTTCCCTATTAAAAGAATTTGTTTGAGTATTGGTATTGAGAGTAAGCTGCGTCTTAAGACTTGTAAATTTTTGGTTTAGGATATCATTATTAATTTCTAACATTAAATTGTTTAAAAAGAAATAAAATTTTTGTTTAAAATAATATATAAAATATATGAATGCTTATCGCTTGAAAAGTGCATTTCTTTTTTTATTTTTTAATTTAGGCTTGGCATTCACGCGAAATTAATTAAAAAAAGCATGCGAAGAAGCAAAAAACAAAAAGTGAAATTAATGTGTTGAGAAGCCTTTCTTAGTGAGAAGAGTGTGGAATTAGATAGATTAGCGAGAATAAAAAATAAAAAAATGGATTAAAAATAAATATTTAAATGTTGAAAAAAATATAGAGAAAGTAATCGTTGGATTGGGGAAATAGTATTTAAAACCGTTGGCAGGGTAACAATAATAAAAAATAATTAGAAAAAAAAACAAGTCTGGAAATTACTCATTTACTTTAATTTTTTTAAATTTTAAAATTTAAATTGGAATATTTGAAATATTTGTGTAAATATAGAAAGCTGGATATAGAAGTACAAAGTTTAAAAAATGCTCTTTATTTCTCCAGAAATACCTATTTTAGAATATAAACTTTCTTCTTTACCCAATAAAAATAATTTTTATTTTCCCTATTTTAATTTAATATTCAACTTCCGTTTCCCCATTGTTTGTCGGCAAAAGAAACCAAAAATGGCAACAATTCTTTTTTGACTTTTTATTTAAAACTTTCCCGTAGCTTTTGAACAATTAAAATAATTAAATATATTCCAGGACCTTTCTAAAATTATTTTAAATAAGGAGATAATAAAAATTAGAATATAAAATGATTGGGAAGCTATTTTGGATTTTTTAAAGAGACCAATTACAAATATAATTATGATAGAAATAAATTAACAATAATTGTATATTATAGCTAGGTGTGGCTTTTTTGGTCGTGATGTAAAAATTAAAAGTTTTAGAACAGCAGAATCGCCCTAGCTATAGGCTTTTATTCACAATTTTGTAATTTTTTAATGATAAAAGTAAATTTAGAAATAAAACAATGAATTTTAAAAATAAAAATAATAGGCACATATTAAATATGGATTTTCTGTTATAAAAATATTTAAAAAAAGACTAGTTTTCAAACACCAATAATTCAATAGTTAAAAATTTTTTTAAAAATTTTTATTCCCAAATTTGTCAAAAGCAAATATTTTCCATGCATTTTAAATTTATATTTAAACAAAAGAATTACTAAAAAAAGACTAAAAAGGTGTGCTCTAAATAATAATTTTTAATGGAATTGAATAAATATTTAAAAAAAAGGAAAAATTGAATGGAAAGTTAAAAGAATAAATAAATAATTAATTTATTATATTCTTTTTAAAAATAATTATATTTATCAAAAAATAAATATATTAAATAATTAATTATTTTAAAAATAAATTAAAACCTCCCTTCCCTCCCCCTCCCCTCACTCCCACCAATTACTTTCCAATAATTAAAATAAATAAATTTTAAAAGAAATAAAAATTATACATCCAAAAATAAAATCTATCTTATCCCTTTACACTTTTTTAATTTCTAAAAAACACAACCACAAACCACCAACCTACACATTTTAGATTTATTTTCTCAATTCAATAAATTTCCCAAAACAATTTAAAAACTCCCCCCACCTTCCAATTTTTTGTCGGGTTCAATAATTATAATTTGTTTTTGTTGATCAAAATTATCTGATTTAGCTGTTAAAGGTGTGTCTATATTTGTATTACAAACAAAGTTGTTATTATTTTGTTCAGACATTGCGAGGTTAAAACAGCTACTTTTAAGGGCTGCTGGACCTTAAAAATTTAAAAATTAATCGTTTTTCGTTTTTTTAAACGAAAATTGGGATTTTTCTGTTTTTATCAAAAAAACTAGTCAGATTCTAGCCTAAACCATCCTTCTTTTAATCAACTAAATTAATAATATATATTCTTTAATTTTATAAATTATTTTTTTAATTTATTAAAATAATTATATAATAATAATTTTCTCTCTCTTACCAACAAAATTATTATTTAATCTTCCTCCACTTCCAATAACTTCATTATCATCATTAGTTTTTTGTAAATTATTTCCAAAAGGAGTAGCTCCGGCAATACGTGAACCAGCAGCCATAATAGCAGAAGCTGTATTGACAGCCGAAGCAGCGACTGCTGGGGTGGCTATTGATTGGAATGGACGGTGATTGGGCAGACTTTGAATATAAATGAGAGAATAAATTAAATGGAATTTTTGAGAATTTTTTAAATCAAAAAAGGAAATCAAAAATATTTTTGTATTAATTCATATTTTATTCAGAAAAATTCGTCTATTAATTCAATAATGAATTTATTTAATTTTAAAGAATTTCAGAAATATTTAAAAATACTAACGGAGTGCTTGCAATTGAACTGGCTTGTTGTAAAATATTTTTAAAAGGAGCAATAGCCCCATTCATTAACTAAAAAAATAATTTTTAATTTTATTATCTATTTAACCCACCATCCATTCTCGAGAAATCTGAAAAATGATTTTTAAAACAAAAATAAATTTCTAAATCAATATAGATTTTAAATAAACTCTCTCCAAACTAAAATAATTTTCTAAATCGACTACCTCAGTCAAATAAGTATCACGTAAAGGACCACAACCAGCATTACTTAAATGACTAGAATGGTCCCCCTCATCAAAGGAAGAATGTGTAGACCGTCCAGTTCGAAGATTATTGTTTAAGTGATGATGATGGTTTTGATGAATTGAAGAAACTCCTGGACAGGAAGGATGACCAGAACAGCCTTTAAATAAAATAAAATAATTTTTGTCTCAAAAATATTTTTATTAAACTTTTAGTATTATTTTCATTATAATTTTGTAAAGAAGAAGATGATTTTATTTGTGTTTGTTTATTGAGATAAACTGTTGGTGAATTATTTATTGAAGAAATTATTTTAGATCGGGATTGGGAAGAATTTGTTGTAGTCATTTAAAATAGAGATAGATAGATAACTATATATTTTTTTAATTTAAAAACTGTTCAAGAATTATTAAAAAATTAATTAAACTCAATTAATTACCCAGGGTAATTAATTCTCAGTAAATAAATAATAGGGATATGTAATTAAAAGAGTAAATCTGTTATTGATAAAAAAAATAAATGAAAAAAATAAAGGTGAGAAATTTAAATAGTCTAATTAAATAATAAAAACATTTTCTAAGATTGTGAGAAAAATTTTGTTCAAAAAAAATTTTTTAAATAAAAATATTTTTTTCTTTATCAAAGAAATATGCAAAAAGAAGACATTGAACTTTTGAGGGGGATAACATTTAAACTTTTTTTAAATTATTAAAAAAAATAATTTTATAAAGAAAAAGAAGCCTTCCTTTAAAGCTTTTAGGTATCTTGAGAAAAAGAGGATTATTACCGATGGTTTCCAAGGCGTAAAAGCAAAATAAATTAATGGGATTCTTAAAGGATTTCCTTGTCTACAAAGAAAAAACAAAAAAAAATTAAAAATTCAAAAAGTCAATAAAATAATTTTAAGAACACGAAATAAAGAAGGAGAAGAATAAAAAAATAAATTAAATTAAACTTTTGGTTTTTAGGAAAATTAAAAATATTTCTTTAAAAAGAAATCACGCAATTTAAAAAATGAAAGATTTTTAGACCTTGGAAAACAAAAAAAAAGGTTTTTAGAATAATTTAAAATAAATGGCAACAATTAAGAAAAATTAAAGTTTTTTTTAGTTAATTTATGACAAAAATATTAACAAAAAAAACAATCCATCATTCTTTCCTAAAAAGTTCATTTCAAAGAGAAAAAAATGTTTTTAGCCGGAAATATTGAAAAAATACTAAAATATTTATTTATATAAAGTCACTTTTCTAAATAATACAACAAATAAAAAATAATAAATATAATTATTGGAGGGACCAGCTGGAAATATTTTTAAATAAATGGAACAGTCTAGAAGACATAATTATTTAATTAAAATTGAAGAACAAAAAATAACTAAGAGAATCGAGTTAAAGTCAGTTGAATCTCATTAGTGTAGTTCCATACAATCTCACTAAAGTGGGGGTATCGCTTAGTCATCCCTCATCCCTAATTATTAGCCAACCACATTAAATCTTAAAAAAGTTTTGTTCTTGTTTACAAGAAAACAAATATTAAATTTTAAATGTCATAAAAATTAAAATAACCAAATATCCAGTTTGCCCAAAAATAAATAACTAACAGAAAAAACAGCTAAAACAAATATAATGAAAAGATTTTGAGAAATAGATAAATTTAGAATGTTTTTAAGTACCTAGTACTATCTAGTAAATAACAAAACAAATAATTTAAAGTCATTGAGACACAAGAATAATAAAAGATTAAAGTAATTTTCCGATCAAAAATTAAAAATAAAATATTTTAAAATATAAAATAACCAAAAAAACTTACCAGAAACTCCACAATACAAAGTCATTGCAGCATTCCCTGGATGACTTCGAGAATCTCTGCTGCTGTCCCCTGAACAAAATCCACTTCTTCGTTCAGTTCGATATCCTTTACAGGCACAACAAACACCTCCACCAACAGCATCGTTTATATGGCCACAAGAAGTTGAGAAATTAGTAGTTGGGTCAGAACGAATGTCAAAAGACTTGAAAATAAAGAAAAAATTGAAAAAATTTTAACATTATTAAGAGGGAAATAATTTTAAAAATAATTTCTGAATAACAAACTCATTTTTAAATAATTTATTTATTAAAATTCCAATTACTTGATGAAAAGAAGAAGGCCCAACACGTGCCCAAATCTCTTTTCGTTTCATACTACTAATCCCAGCACTAGTCGGAGCGGAATCGGTAGAACCCTGTTGCCGTTGAACTGCTGCTGCTCGACAACGAGCTTAAATTTAGAAAAAATTTTTTTTAATTATTTTAAAATTAATTTACCTGTGGAAGGAGAAATTGGACTATTTTGTTGTTGTTTTTGCAGTGACGGAGAGGGAAGTGGAGGCATAGTAGAATTATTAGAGCAATCCTCTGGACGTAAATTAAGTGAGTACTTTGGCTTTGGAAATGTTTGTTGAGGATTAGGGTAATGTGAAGATGTTGGGGAAGACATTGAGAAAAAATCTTCTTCGCCTGAATATTTTTTTAAAAATTAAAAATTAATTGGTAATTACAAAAAAAATAATTTTTAAATTATTAAAAGAATTTTAGATTTTTGTTGCTATTTTTAAAAAGAAAATTATAAACAAATATAGCTTTCCAAAAATTAATATATTAAAATAGACGTCCTAAATCCTTTTATTCTAAATAAGGAAATAAATTTTGACATCATCTCCCCTGAGAAAAATATGATTTTTGATTTCCTACAAGGCTGTAAAATATACAGTGTTTCACACACTACCTAAATTTTGTGTTTCTCGATTTAAATCGAGATGATTTTTATTTAGGATTACAAATAACCCCGTCAAATCGAAAAAAAATTTCATTTTTAGAAGTCGAAAAAACCGAAAATCTAGTGTGAGGATATAGTTATGTGGAGCTATAATTAATTTTAATTAAATTGTAGAAATGATCTATTTAGAAATTAAATTTAGAAAATAAATAAATTATTAATTTTTAAGAGAAAATAACTTAAATAAAAATAATTATTAAAATATATTTTCTATTTAAAACCTATTTTTGAATAAAAGAATTTTTTAAAAGGTTAATTTTTTAGTTTTGCTAAAAATGCCAAAAGGAGTGTTTAAATTTTTAAACGATTTTTTAATTGTCAAAATATAAAAATACTTTTATTTTTTGCTTTCTTTATTTAAAAAGAGAAATATTTTAAAGTGAATTTTAAATAAAATTATTACAATAAAATGGCTTTTAAATAAAAGTTTGAATAAAAAAATAAAATAAATTGTGTATATTCAATAAATTTAATTTTAGAAAAATATTAAAGTACTAAATAAACTTTTACCTTAAAATAAATATTATAAATAGCCTTATTTTAAATAAAAAAATATAATTTAAACAAAAAATATTTTTTCAGAAAATTTAAAGAAATTATTTATTTATTTTCTATTTCTAAATTTGTTCCACACTAACGCTTTTTTATCTAAAAAGTATTTGGATAAAACACGCTGCCTAAGGCCTTTATATTTCTTTCTTTGTTTAAAAGGTTTAGGGGATTTCTCCTCGGATTTTAACTTCATCTTCAGAACCCTTTCTAAAAATGGATGCCAGTTTAAGGGCAGGCTTCTGATACAATTTCAGCCTTTTCTGAAAAGCTTTAAAATTGTGTCAAATGCCGTATGTCTGAGAATTTCGGAGTGTATGTGGTATATGTACAACCGTCCCGGTACAAGTAAAAAAAGCTCTTAATTTAAAAGCTTAATATCAAAATTTTACTAAGGAGTGTAGTAAATAAACACAAAATTAAAATAATTAAATTAGAATTGCTATTAATTTCTCTAAAAATTAAAAAAATAATAAAGTATGTGGAAAAGAAAAATTTTAATTTTTTAGTATTTAAAAGGAAGATTAACAGAAATATGTATTTATTTTGATTTTTAAATAAAAATATATTGTTCTTTAAAATTAAAAAAAAATTCTTTTGGTTTTTGTTAGTTCATTTTTTGTTATGTTTTAGTAATTAGTAAATGTACTTTAACTAATATTAAAACATAACTTTTTTACGTCAAAAATAAATATATTTATTTACACAAAACATATGTGAAGGATATTTGTTTTAAGCTTGTTTAAATGTTTTTTTTGTGTTATTCTTTTTTTTCTAAGTAAATCACTCAATATATTAATTAATCTTTGGCAATGACTAAAAAATATTTTAAAGACTAAATTTAAACAATCAATAGAAAATAAAGTAAATTTATAGGGAAAAAATTTTTTTTAATTTAAAAAAATTTTGAGAATTTTGGGTAAAGTAAGACAGGGTAAAGTAACAGGGATAAGCCTCTTTAAAAAATATTTTCGACCCTTTATGAAGCAGAGCCTATGTTATTCTTAAATTATTTTTAAAATTCTCTTATCAAAACGATACAAAAATAAAAATATTTTATTTAAAACAAGACTAGAAAAAGAAGGTGTCATATGCCATATAAAACATAAAAAATAGAAGAATTTACTCCATTTTACTTTAAAAACCGCAACTTTTTGTGAGAAAATAAAACAAAAAAAAAGAATTGTTTATATTTATTAGAGAATGAATAGATAATTATGTAGGTGAAAATAAGTCCTCTTGGGAATTTTTTTTGAAAAAATTTTTTGAAGTGGAAATATATAAACAGGCAATTATTTAGATGAAATAAATTTAAAAAAAAATAAAATTGGCATTTAAATAAAAGAAAATTATTTATTTAATATTTTAAATAAATAAAAAAAAGTTTTATGAAGGAAATGGAGAGATATTAGAGTTTCAACGGAAATTCCGGGTCCAGAAAGTTCCGGCGTTTTTTGGTTCCGGTTCCGGGAACCGGAACTCAAATTGGATCCGGTTCCGGTTTACAATACATTACAAATCCATTTAAGAGCAACCAACTACCTACTAACTATTAAATGTGTAGTTGTTTGTCCTTAAATGAAAAAATGAGAAAAAGAAGTTAGGCTAATAACCTCTCGAAAAGTATACAAAAACTCAAGTTCTTATTAAATTTTTATTATTTTTTCAAATATTTTTAGAGTAAATAACCCAAAATTAATTTTAAAATAATTGAATGTATTTTTTAAAAATAAAAATAATTTCCGTATAAATTTAATTTTGTTTTTACAAATTTATTTAATTAAATAGACTTGTTTAAAAAAGTTTTTTATTTTAGAAAATGATGTCAGTTAAAATAGTAATCCATTAAAGATTTTTTGAAGAAAAATAAATATATTTTTAATATTTGAAGAATTTTATATAAAAATTCTAAACAATTTTTGATATTTAATAAATTTTGTAAATCTATTAATTTTGTACAAAATTGGATCTAAGAATTGGATTATTACTTCGTGTGGTAAAACGTAACAAGAATTAAAAAAATTTTTTTAATAATTATTGAAAAAAATTCTTTAATTCTGGTTACGCTTTACAATTCCGAACGCTAATAAATTTCTTTAAAAAAATAACAAAAATAAGCGGCAACCCAAGATTCACGAAATTTTAAAATTTTACAAGTGTAATACATAATTTCGAATAGGTAAAATGCATTTTTAAGAATTTGCTTGCCAGCTGATTTTATTTCCTTCCCCAAATGCACTTAAGTTTATCTACAATTTTTTTCAATCCCAAAGATTTTTGTCAAATTTAAATTTGGCATTATTTATTAAATAATTATTTAGGTAAATATATTTACTAACTGGGTGTTGGACTACAACTTGCACTACTACTAATTCCCCCATTGTTTTGTAGATAACCACTATAAGTTGTTGATTTAATATAACGTTTATTGTTGTTATTATTAATATATTTTGGAGGTTCTAATAAATTAGAAGTACTTCCACTTGAACGAATTTGTTGTTGTTTAGTATTATTTAAATTATTATTTATATTTCCTCCTCCATCATTTAAAATCATTGTACATTGAAGACAACGAACAATTCCGGAATTTTTTGAATTATTTATTTGGTGATAAATATTTATATCATCAATCGGTGTGCCTAAAATTTTATTAAATTTTAAATGAAAAGTTAAGAAATTCGCTATGGAGAAGAAAGGGGTTTTTAAGGGGGTTTTTAGGTTTTTAGGCTGTTAAAGTTTTTAGGCTGTTTTTAGGCTGTTTTTAGGCTGTTAAAGGGGTTTTTAGGCTGTTCCTTTCCCTTTTGTCATCTCCCCAATTTTACCCAGAATTACATAAATATATATCCGTCTTTGATATTAATAAAATTAATTTTTTCAAATTTCTATTTTTTAAAAACAGCAATAAATAAGAAAAAATTGATTACCAAAAATAAAAACCTAAATTTGTTGCGAAAAAAACTTTAAAAAAATTTATTTTTACTTAATAATTTTTTAACAAAAAAAGAATTCCGGTTCCGGTAGGACCGGAAATTCCGGTTCCGGTAGGACGGAAGTTCCGGGATTTTTTGGTTCCTGTTCGGTTCCGGCCAAATTTGCGGTTCCTGCGAAGCTCTAGTATTTTCATTAACAGTAATACCGAAATTTACTTGGTATTATTATCGGTATTAATTGGGTAATTAATTACTCAGCTTTATTACCATACCGTGCCAAAATTAATATTTTACCAGGTAAACAAAATCCGTGAAAAGAATTTCTTTTCCATTGTTGTTGATAACCAAAAGATGTGTGAGGTGGTTCTAAATGAAGTTTTTGTTGATTGTTTGAATATCCACTTAATTTCGTTACAAATTTATATTCAGAAGAGGTTGTTGTTGTAATTGATGTTGTTGTTTGTTGTTGCTGTTGTTTAGTTGATATTGGGGGAAAAAGGAAAACAGACATTTTATTTTTATTTTTGAATTAATTATGTGTATATTTTAAATTTAATTATAAAAAAAATAAAAATATTAGCTTTATTAAATTAACTAAATTTATTTTTTATTTTTTCTAATAAAAAATATTTCTTTTTAGTAATTTACCAAGTCATTAAGCCGTTCATTTCTGCATCTTTTTCCCTCCTTTTCCCCTAAGGGATATATAAATATTCAAGCATACATTAAAGCTTTTGGTTTGTTTTTTTGTCATTGACAGAAATTCATTCCCTACTTAAATACTTTTTTAGTATTTTTTAAGCAAGAAGTATGTACTAAATACACATTATCTATAAGCAGGCGGGAGCAATTAATTTGTTTTGTCTGACATTAAATTTTAAAAAAGAAAAAAAGACTATTAGATTTTTTAATTTCTAAAAAATATTTTTTAATTAAATTTTAATTTCTGTGACGACAAAAAGATGAGCTTATAACCAAAAATTACTTTAGTTTTAAAGCGATGAGAAATTTATTTTAAACCAGACTAGGACATGGATACGTATTTTGGTATCCGTATCCGGATATTTACGGCAGATACAGGCGGATATCCGCAGGCATTTTGGTATTATCTGTATCCGTATCCATGACCATGTCTGTTTTAAACAATAGAATTGCAAAACAAATAAAATAATTTATAAATTAAAGTTTTGTTTTTATTTAAAAATAAAATGGTTTAGAAATTGTGAAATAATTTAAATTATCAATTAAAATTAGCAAAAAATATAGTCATCTTTTTTAAATAAAATTGTTTTTAACAAAATAAAAAAAGCTTTATTTATAGCTTTAATAAATTCAAAATATAAATTCAATCAAAAAAAGGCAAATCTCTGCTTTTGGCATTCAACCAAATAAATTGCCATTCCTTCCTCTCTTTTTTTAACTTAATTTACAAATAAACACATATTTCACAAATTCATCTTTCCTCCCTTTTTTCTCTCATCTTTAAAAGAGGTAATTGGATTTCTTTTTTTATATATTTTAATATAAAATAGTAAAATTTTAAAAATCGAAAAGGAAATATTTAAAAGAAGATAAAGAATAAAAATAAAAATTTATTGATAAATTTGGATTTAATAATTTAAAAAAATTAAAAATAATTTTTAGGCATAAATTAAATTAAACATCTTACTGGTAAAAACTCTCGATAATTTTTTGCATTAAAAAGAAATAATTATATTCAAAAATATTTTTTGAATATAAATCATTTAAATATTAAACAATAAATAATATGTAATTTATGTTTAGAAAATGTTTTCATTTTTAAATTATCAGGTATTGAATATTTACCGTTTTTGGTAAATGTTATTTACATGAAAAATTATGGCAATAAATCAGTATAAAATTATTTTAGCTGACAAATTATCTCTCTTTTTAACTTAATTTACAAATAATTATTCATTTATTGTATTTTCTTCATTCTTGATTAATATAATATCTACATATTATTAGTAGATACTTATTATAATCTAACATACTACAAAGATAATAATTTTATAAAAATCTAAAAACAATAACAAAAATAACAACAAAAAATCAACAAATATTAAACATCTTTTATTCTTTTTACTCATTTCTTGTATATTCAAACCACTGATGAATTGCTTCAGCAATTGTACTTGGTAATGAATTAGCACTTCTCACTAGTGCGTAAAGAGGAAAAGGAAAGCATTCCATATAGGGTCTGAAAGAGCATCCTCCATCAACAAAATCGGCTATACGCACTTCTGTTATAGATTGTTCAGCTGTGTCCATTATTAGAAAGAGAACAGTAACTCTGTCATGTTCAAGATACTCCAAATGCTAAAAAGATTTTAAGATAATAAAAACTTGATACAATTTCTCTTACTTTTTTAATATCAGCAATACCATTAGCAAGCACATCTCTTCCATCACCCAAAATAATAAGCATTTGTTCAGGTATTTGTATGGAACATTCTCTCCCGCTTTTAAAAAGTGCTATAGAGGATTCAAGCAATTGGGAAATGTCAGTTCTTTGTTGATCAAATTTAAATGTTTGAAGAATCTGTAATCCAAGAGAAGAGTCTTCGCCAGATGAAAAATCAGAAAGCATGTGTACATTTGAACCAAAAGAGCATATGGCTAATTGACCAATTTCAAGTTGTCTGAGTGCTCGTTCAATTAAACATAGAGCATTGCAAGTAATCTAAAAAAATATTTTTTCTTCCATTATTAAATAAAAATTTACCTCAGTAAAATGATTGTGCTTCATACTTTGAGAATTGTCAATAGCAATACAGACTTGATAGTTCCTTTTAGCACATTTTGTTCTTCTCATCCATATCTGATCCTTTCGATAATCACTAGCAATATAGGCTATCAATCTGCGCATATTCAATCTTTTGCCTGTTCTATAATCACCTCTGAAAAAATATATAGGAATATTCCGATCCCAAAACTTTTGAATAATTTTGAAAATCCTACTGAAGTTTGCTAGCAACAGTTGGTTCAATAATTGAACGTAAAGACTCAGCCAATTCAGAAGCCAAAGAAGTAACACTTTCAGAAATAAGAGCCCATTTCAATTGAAGTTGTCGAATATCCTCATCGTTACTAGTAGTCGGAGTTTCTCGTTCTAGCCTATCGAATTCTTTACATAAATTGTCCATTGAAATGAGTTCATTTGAATTTATTCCAAAATTGAACTATAATTTTTAAATTTGTTAATATTAAAGTATAAAATAGTAATTTACATTTTGTCTCCCGGTGATGTTAAGAAAAACATTTCGTGCCTCCTTTGCAAAAGAATCATCAATAATTTCAATAGATGCATTGTCTTCATTATCCATTTCAATTTCATCGTCTGCCTCATCATTCTGTTTTTCTTTATTTAAATTTTGTCTGTCAGAAGCATTCTCTGCCAATTCATTTGTTTTTACCTCCTTACGCAAACGACGTAAAGAAATGTCAAATAATGCACGAGTTCGATTTGCTTGTTCAAGTGTTGAGGTTCCGGTAACAGATAACTTAAAAAGAGATGTTAAATCGAGAAGTTAAAGATATCCAAAGGTATTCTACAATAATTGAATAGTGCATTAAAAATAACCTTTTCTTGTTCAACTTCATCAAAAGCATTTTCTTCCATTTCTTCATCAACAGAATTATCACCTCCTCTTTCATTTCCACTATTACTAGGTCGGTTCATAAAAAAGTTCGTTTTTTCCAAAAATTTATTTTCCAAGAAAAATCGATAAATCTCAAGCAAACTAAAACAGATAAAAAATCTAACCTTACTAAATAATTGTCCCGAGTCTTAACAACATTCTTAAACCAGAAAAAAGTTTGTGGATACCTCTTTTTAAAAAAATCTGACCCCATTTCTGAAGCACTGTCTTCCCCACCACAGTCTCGACCTTGGCGTCTTCAGCCAAGTGCCCGTCCCGTAAAAATTTTTTTGAAGAAGTGAAATGATGTTAATCTGATAGAGCAGACTCAGGGCTACAAGGGGGGTGGGGTAACACTTTCCAAGAAAGTTTATTTGGGGTATGGCAGGTCGTCAAAAATGAGCGGTGCAAAGGAGCGTTATTTTAATGGAAAACAGAGGTCTAATAATCAGTCCCTGGCGACGTTGAAGGTAACAAACGAAATCTCCCTGGATGAGTTAGTTAATATGCATGTTGAAGTTTGTAGTGGTACCAATTTGAAGTACCTCCGTCATCAACGGACCGAGCATCATCCAAAAGAATACACAACATACGTTTTTTGGGTAGTTGGTTGGGCGGGGGACCAAAAGAGGGTCTTAATATTTTTTCCTCCAAACAATTTTTGTATATTATTATCGTAATTGGCATATGTTTAAACTTAGGTAACAATCCGGTTCCATGAACAACCCTTTCGATAGTTATCCAGGCTTGAAAGGCTAAAAAAAAGTCCCTGTTGTTTTTGTCTCCCAGTCGGTTGGTGCATTACTCTTTTTGTCCTCCTCGGCTCACAATCCGTTTTTTTCGACACTTGCTATATTGTACTTATAGAGCAATGTCCCCGCTACAATACTGTCAAAAAAATATCCGGATATCATTCTAACCGACAAGGAAGGACGTGTTTGTTTACAGTCGGTGGCCTTCCCGGACCAAGTTTGCGTTTGGTACTATTGTTCCCAGATCGAATTTTTTGAAAAATTTTTGAACTACACTAGGTTAGACAAGATCCCTGCCTATCATTTCATTGATTTTTCTTGATGCCAATATTGCATTATTACTTAGTTTTAATGGGATGTGTAACTGCCCCTAAATATTCCCCTTACCCACGCTCACTTCTGAAGGCATAAAATTTTTTTGATCTTTGATATTTTTAAAATTTTGGTATCATTAGAAAGCTAAGACTCTGGGCTACAAAATAAGATAAAAATAAAATCGGATAAAAATAGTTATCACCCAAAAAACTTGCGATAACAAAAAACGAACTTTTTTATGAACCGACCTAGTACAATTATCCTTGCTTGGCTCAACTTCATTCAATTCCTCATTTTGCCGGGAATCCGTCTCCAGTTGTGCTGATTTTGTCGAATTTCTAGCAGCGGAATCTCTCTGATTTTGTTCACCATCTGCGTTTTCTGAGATTAAATAAAATTAAATAAGAGAAAGAAGAACACTCACTATCATTTGAATTTTTATCTTCTCCCTGCGTTCTGGCATCATTCTTTACCTCTTGTTCTTTGTCAATTATTTCAGAGGGGCGAGCAGCGTTTGGAGTACCTTCAGTATCACCAATTGCGTCTGGCTCAAATTCATTATTAAATGCTTCATTGTTTTGATATTCATCATTTGAATCTTCATCTTTCTCTTAAATTTGGAATAAATATATTAATTTATTAGTCTGTTAAAATACCTTTTTCCATTTCACCTGAATTCCCCTCTCCATTTTTATCTTCTTGTTTTTCATTTTGTTTTTGATTATCTTCATCTTCACTTAAATATTCTTCACCATTTCTTTTTTCATTGTCATCTTTTTCTTCAGTATCGTCATTCTCATGTGTTAACTCAAGATCCTCAACATCTTTATCAGCAGATTGTTCTGCATCAGAAGCATTGTTCTAAAAATGTATAAAATACATATACATACAAAAATAACATTTTTTGGTTTACACAAACCTCGTTTTCATCTCTACGTTCTCCTTTCTCGTCCGGTTCAGTAGCGTCATAATCATCAACATTTTCATCCTCACTTTGATAAGCGTCTGATGACTTTGCTCCCTTTTCTTGATTTTCATCACTTTTCTGTTGTTTCTGATGTTGAGCAGCAACAAGATCTTCAGTTAACGAATCAGCCCCTTTAAGAATTATTTATAAAAAGTAATCAATAAAACACAATTACCCTTTCCAACATTATCATCTTCTTCCATTTCTTGTTCATTTTCGTCGCCTTCATTTCGTTCCCAAAGCTTTGGATCCAACTGTTTTTCTTCTGGTTCGTCCACTTCCCCAAAATTCCAATCAGCATTCGGATCTTCTTCACCTTAATTTAACATAGATGATTCATAAAAAGTCGAAAATAAAACCAACAATTATTATCATCTCCATTCTCCTCGTCTTCGCCATCTTGCGCATCTAATCCCTCAATGCACCCAGCAAAATCGTCATCTACATCAATAGGATTATCAACTTCGGGCAACTTTTGTTGTTCATCAGAAGGGTTTTCATTTGATTGATCGACATCTTGATTATCATTTAAATTATTTTCCGTTCCATTCTTTAAATTTAAAATAAAATTAGAAGAGCATTTTTAATTAAAATTTATTTAAAGTTGATAAAAAATCCGTTTTTTATTTTCATTAACCTTAAGTCCTTCAATCTGTTCCATTGCTTCTAATTCCCCACCAACATCCTTAGCATCATTAGTTAAATCGCCATCACCAAATCCACACATATTCTCAACTCTTTTATCATCTCCTTGTAACGATGGTCCAGATTTTGGAATTGGATTGACAAATCCATTAGTTAATAAATGACTAAAAAATAATTTTAAAATTAATAAATAAAATATTTAAAACCATCCAATTGCAACCCAATGTTCGTGAAGAGAAATCGAATTGAAAATAAATTCACATAAATAATGCAATAAACGCTCATATAATTTGTGAACGCCAATGGCTAGAATTGAGAATTTGTTAAGTAAATCAACTGATGTATCGGAATGAATTGGAGACGATAGAAAAATGATGTGAAAATTTTTGATAAGTTGGTTGCTTGCCTGAAATTAATGGAAATATATAAAATAAAAAATAACAAATCAAAAAACCTTAAATGTATTTTGTCCAAAATATTCAATCAAGCTCTTAATTGCATCGAACCGATTCATACCATCGGAGTTAAGCAAAGATTCCATTTGATTGAAAATGCTTTGGAGACGAAATAAAATTAAATGTTGTAATTCATCAAATGAATTTTCATTGAAATGTGACTGATTGTGAGTTGATTGAGATATAACATCTTCACACTCGTTGAAAGAAGAAATCTTGTTAATAATTTCACAAATCCGTCTGGAATCCTCAGGAAAATAGTGCTGAATATTATTTGTCATAACGATAGATTTAAGATCTTCGAGTAACAAAGAAAAATTTTGAGAATATGTAGACAAGCGGGTTCTGCAAATTTTAAATAAAATTATTTATATGATTTATATTTAAAAAAAAATACTTATTCCAAATATTTTCCTCTATAATATTGCTCTCTTCTTCAAAAATAATAGGCAAATGTAAAATAAATTCTTTTTCATTCTCGTTGAGTTTGTCAAGTTTTGTTATAATGCCGAGCAAGTCATCAACATTTTTATTTAATTGAGAAAACTCTAAATCAGATTGGCGAAGAATGCCAAGAGGTTCCTGTAAATTTCTTAAATCATGAGAAGTTTGCTTGTAATGTTCTCTTGGACAACAAGAAAGAAGCTTTCGAATCCGATCAACAATTTGAAGAATATTTTTAACATAATCACAATTCTGTGCATATTTTTGAGTTATTTGTTTATGGGTAAATGTGGATAAATTATCCTAAATAAATTTAATCAAAACAATAAATTATTGTATATATTAACCTTCGGTCTCATTAGATTCTCTAACTCTGCCTCAAAACATTTAGAAACTAAATGTAAACGCTTGACCTCCAAAGCACCATTCGTAGCAAGTCCATTAAGTGCACGTAAAATCCAATATAACCCAAATTCAGTAGTGCCACGTAAATTATCCAAAATGGAAGGAGAAAGTTGTTCGGCCAAATGAGGGGTATCTTGAGAGCAGCGACGCCAAGAAGCAAACTTTCGCATAAATACATTTCTCGAGGCGATTGTATGCCGAAACAATAAGTTTATCTTAAATAAAATTAAATAGAAAGTAAGCTTTAAAAGTAAAAATAAAAACCGTATCGCCAGCTAAGAGTAAATTCCTGACATCCGGAGCCACTTGTGTAAGTGTTTCAACAGTTAGCTTCTCAGAATCTATTTTATGTGCACGCCTTGAACCGAGACCAAAACGATTCAAAGAACGAATTAAAAGAGAAAAGTGCTGTTGACGTTCGAATAAAGCCCGCCCATGTAACTTTACATTTGCAGAGTCAACAACGTCAGAATTATTTGAAGAGTCGTCTATTAAAAATATAAAGAAAATAAAAATATCGCTGATACTAACTTGATTTATCAATGCTTTGATAGGAAACACTATTCATCACTAATTGAAGAAAATCAGCAGCAGATTCCTTGATATTACACAATTCATCCAATGCAATCAATTTTTGTAATTGTTTATCAAATCTTATTTCAAAATTGTCGAGCATTTGGGAAAGAGTTGAATCAGAACATAGTTGATTATATAATGGTAGAAAACTTGGAAAAGGATTTAATGCTTGAGGTGGTAATCCTGGCAGTTTGTCGAGTAAAATAGGTGAAAGTGCTTCATTGGACATTTCCTTAAAAATTGAATATAATTTTATATTCAAAGGAGTATAAAAATAATTAATAATTTATTGCCCTAAATTTTAAAATAACCTTAAATTTACGAAGAATCCTAGATAATTGAACATGCGCACGCTTTACTGACTCACGGACACTCCATAAATTCAGATCATTATAAGAAACAACACGAGTAAAATTTCGCAATTCAGTTTCGATTGGGCTGTAAAGTTGTGCATAACGTTCTTTAGCTTAAAAATTGAAACAAAATATTTAAAAATAGAGAATTGAAATAAGAAACAAACCTTGATTATTAAACTGCTCAAAATGATCAACAATGCATGAAACGGAACAAGAAAGTTTATATTCCTTCGCACTTATTTTCTCATTCTCTTGTTCAAATAATGAAATAAAATGCGAAAGAAGTCGACCAGTCCAAATACGAGTTTCAAAATCACCCAATGTTGAATTTTGAAGCCACTCAGTAAGCATTAACAATAATTTGTTTTTATCACATTCCAACTCAAATGCATATTTAAAAATTGGCCAACTGACCAAAACAGCAAGTTGTGATGTGTCTCGCTTAACAAAACTAATTAATTCGTTCCAACATTGAACTTCACGACGACGCCATTCTACAAGTAACTCTTGTAAGGGATACATTTGTTCACGCATAGAATGTGCTCTATCCGAAATTGATTCCCATGTTTCAGCATACTCTAAAAATTATGAAAATAAATACGATTTTTTAAAGCGAAGAATTTAATTTAAGGAAAATTACGTTTAACTACCTAAAATTCGTTCCAATTGTGCAGCATGTTTCATGAGCGGAACTCCTGCCTGCGCATTATTAAACATATCAATGGTAGATAAAAGTTGAAGCAAATGAATATTTTCAGGAAATTCATTAAGTAAATGAGATGCAGATATTCGAAGTGGTTCAAGCAATTCACAACATTGAATAAGAGAGCTTGGTTCAGATTCCTTATACACATTTAGCGGAAGACATTTAGAAATTATTTGACGTCGTCCTTCATTAGGTTGTTTTCCCAATTTTTGACATAGCTCGTTGAGTTGTAAAAGATGATGGACTAAAAAATAGAAATTAGCATACACTGAGGAAAAATAAAACATTCTTTGACGTTAAGAAAATTATAAGAGAAAAATAAATGGATATTATTTTCAAAAAAATAAACTACATGCAAAATTTCCATTTGTTGTTGATGATAAATTGCGATAAAATAAGCCCTGATTAGGATCAGCCAAGAAGGACATAAAATTGAGAAATGGAAGCTTCGGATTTTCAGATGATAAAAGCATCGTTTGTAGTGCTGAATAAATATCATCGCCGTTAAGAGATAAATCAGTTTCTTCGGATATTGGTGTCTTGGTAGTTGGTTCGTTTTCAGTAGATAAGCTAAAGTCAGGCAAATAGTTATCGATCTAAAATAAAAGAATATGCAAAAACAACAAAATTTATCACCTCTTCTTCATCAACATCATTTGAATTAATAATTTGTCCATCATCGTCTAATAGATCTTCATTGTTAACCTTCTTCTTTACGATATAAAGTTGCTCTTTCTTAGCTTTTGCATATTTTTCATGCCACAATTCCCAATGTTTAAAAAGCCATTGCAAAAACTTTATTTGACATTTTTCAAACAAAGAATTTTTGAAGTTTATTTTGATATAATTAATATTCCAGAGAATGATGGGAAGTTTTTGACGAGGAGAAAAATTAACATCGTCAGACAGTAAGTGATTAAGTAGAATGTTTAAATTAATTTGCTCATTGGGTAACTCTTCAAATGGGGACAGAAAAACCTAAAATGTCTAATTATTTTAATATTTTAAATTTAATTAAACTCACATTAACTTTCTTGTTTTGAGTACAACAAATAATAGTAGTTAATCTTTCCTTTGCACGTTTATGTTGTTCGGATAAGGAAATAACAAGGCAGTTGAGAGCAAATAAATAAGGAATAAACATATCCGGAAAAAAAAGAATTGTTGGAAAATTAGAACAAAACAAAGAATATAAGCGTTTTCTCAAAACATGAACTGTTTGAAAAGCATTCAATAATAAAGAACAAAATCGTTCAATTCTGAAAATAGTTTAGGGGTTTTAAAAAACTTAAAATTAAATAAAGAATATTCTAAAACTCAAAAAAAACTAACTCATTTTGGTGTAGTATTGTTTGTAATTTATCTAAATCTTCCAAGAAGTGTGGAGTGAAAAGTTCATTTAAAGCAGTAGTACAATTATATAATTCATAAACAATATTCTCTTGGAAATTCTAAAAAAAATAATTTAAATTAAATCATTAAAATTTATTAAAGTTTTACTTTTTTATATGTTATTTCGTCAGCCTCTAGCATTTCGATTCGATAAACACCCTGATTTTTAGTCCAAAAACAAAAATCTTCTTCTAAACTATTAATCTGGGAAATTGTTGTTTGTCTTACATCAGAAAAAGCAGCAAAGAATTTTGAATGACTGGAAGAAATTGTACAAACTTGATCTATATCATAATCTTTAGAAATCTATTAAAAAATTTATTAATTTATTTAAAAAAATCTAAAAGAACCGTTAATTGAAGAAAATCTCTCAAAACACAAAAATAATGTTCAAGATACTGATTTTTAATTTGTAAATAATTCTTATGTTTGTGAATATAAAATATATGATCAAGAAATCCTTTGGGAGGAGTCAATGAATTTATTTTAAATAAAATTGATTTTATTGAAAAATTTTGGTCAAGGCTAGAAGCTGATGTAATAGAAAAATGTTTTTCACATTCAGATAAAAGAATACTGAAAATAAGAAAGAATAAAAATAGAAAAAAACGTTTCTTCACCTATTTGTTTTATTTAAACATTTTGATGCAAAAACAATATCCCAAAAAAGTTCAGAAGTCCGTTCCAATTGATGTAAAGCATTAGACATTTCACAGACTCGAACATGTAGCAGGAGATTATCGTTATAATTAAGACGAGACCACAACGATGAATTGGCAGAATGTGTAATAAATGCGTTACTGCTCAAATATGAAAACAACTAAAGAGTAAAAAAATAGGAGAACAGAGAAAATTTTAAAATTTACAGATAGTGGCTGCGCATTAAAATTAATTTCCTGCATTAAATTGGAGTTACTCATAAATCGAGAAAATAAAAATAATCGTTCATTTCCTCCTGCATTAATCCAATCAAATAGAGAAGTAGAAGTTGAATTGCTACAAAATAGATAACCAATTTTGTTTAATAATTCAAGTAAATGATGTTTTAAAGGAGCAAATATAGATTTCTGTAAAAGGTATAAATAAAATAGAAGAAATAAAGCCAAAAATTATACCGATTCTTCTATGTTTTGGCAACTATTAACTAGCAAATTCTCTTCGTATTTCCAACGTTCTAGACACAAACAGATCTGATCATAAGTAGTAAACGGCTTGTACAAACAAGCAGAGACACGTAAAGAAGACAAATATTGTTCTCCAAGATAAGTTGAATTTGTAATATTTGATTGTAATTGATTCCATTGGCAATAATGAAATTGAAAGTTCTCAAAAGTTGAAAGAATAATTTCATCAATAATAACAACTTTGTCATTTTCACTAATAATTCTTGAAATAAAAATTTTCAGTTGATCGTAAATTTTTGTAATTGATAAACCAAGTTCTGCAAATAAAAAATATACATACTAATAGAAATTAAAAGATTTACCACGAGAATTAAAATTATTAGTAAGACAATCAAGAATAAAAGGATTGTTGTCTAACACAAGTTCGAAAGGAAAAACAAAAGCCATTTGTATAAATAATTCTATTGGAATGTTTAAATGAATTGATTTGTTAAAAATTGCAGCCCAACAACGGCAAAAATAATTGATGATATTAACTAAAAGATAAAATTTGTATTTAATCTTAAAAATAAATTTTATAATTTTTATTCTTACAGAGTAAATCGCCTTGAAGAGAAGGTCGCAGTAAGGGAAAGTAACAATGAATTGGTAATTCTGTTGATAATAAATCTAAAAAATATGATAAATTAACAAAATTCAAAAAATAAAAGTTACTAATATTTTGATTTGTCAGTACGTCGAAAAACAAACTCAAAATTTTATTAAACTCAATTCCTGAATTTGATTTCATTTTTGCATAAAAAAGAGCTGCGCATTTCAACAATTGTTCTGGAGGTAGACAACAAATTAATAGTTCTTTTTTCATAAGCTTTGAATTCGTAAGATTAGCTTGAAAATCAATGCATGGATTAAATATAATTGAAAGGGCATCATAAATGTTTTTATTCAAAAATTCTTCCTGATAAGCCTCAACACAAAATTGGATTTCTAATGTACGATTTCTCATTGCTCGTGAAATTTGGCCATTTCGAGGATTCATTGAAAAGAAAATTCTAAAAATGTAATTTATTAAAGTAAAGGTCTAAAGTCAACATGCCTAAAGTCAGGATGACGATGAACCACTTGTGAATCATCCATGGGTAAAAGAAGTTCACCATCTGTACTCTCAAGACAAGAGTTTAAACAGTCTAATACTGCTGAATTACAACAATTAGCATCTTCAACCAATAACCAATGTCCATCACGAAAGGCACGCAAAAATATACTTTCAACCCATTTAAAACAAAGTTCTCCACACTCATTATCAGGAAATGTTAATTCATCCAATGTCAAATTTTCATCATTCTCATTGTGTAAAATCGGAGAAGATTCTACCTGTATAATGAAGATAAATATGAATTTAATATTATAATATGAAAATATTATCCGGAAACCTGAATTTGTTCAAACGATCCTAATAAATCAAGTGCATCCGTTCCCGAAGTGAGACGCATCGTGTGAAGTTGCTTTCCATTCAATGCCGCAAGAATTTTAATTATAGAGCGTTTGCCACAGTGTGAGGGTCCAACAAGTGAAAGAAGCCAATTTGCCTGCACACATGCACTTACCTGAATTTTATAATCTGATAAAGTTCAATTTGAAAAATAAGTACTTTCTCCAATAATTCCATCTGGGTTGCCAAAAGGCAAAGATGATCATTTCCGACAGTTTCATCTAGTGTCGCATTTCTAATATAATTTAATGTAACATTTCCGATTGACAAAGTTGAGGAATTGAGATCAATTTTAGGCAGAGGCACACTGGGCATCCATTTTCGAGGAGAAAAAACTCGATTGTAGATAGCATTTATTACCTGAAAATTTAAATTAAATTTTACTGTCGAATATTCTATGCAAATAAGGTTCATTTTTGAGGTAAAAACTTAAATAATTATATTATATTTTTCGTGCAACATAAAAACACATAGAACAATTTATTCTCTTTCTCGCAGTTTTTCACATACAATGTTATACGCAATGTATTTATTGGTCAAAGAACTTGATCTACGATTAATTTTCGTCAGCAAAACCCTGCGCGCAACTTTGATTTCTCTGCTCACAAATTTAAAGCAACGAAGGAAAGAAAAGCGACACGTCAATGTTCTAGGTTCGATTGACTATAAGAAAGATAGCTTCTCATAAACACCATTTAAATCCTAACGAACATAATTTTTCCAAATGCTTATCTGATAAATTTATTTTATAAAGATGAAAGTTTCAACAAGATTATTTATAGAAATTGCATTGATTGCAGTATCAGGAATCTTAATAAATGCCCATGACAATGAAAAGAAGGTAGATCTGACCGAGATGTACAAAAATCCCTTATCAAATGGTATAGACAAAATTCGACTGATAATTCTGAATAATAAAAATATATAAATTCGTAGGTTTTGGTGATGATATTGACTGGATACCTTGGGAAAATGCAGTGGAAACAGCTTTAGAAAGGAATAAACCTGTCTTTCTTTTAATCCACAAGACATGGTGTCACGCGTGCAAATGTAGGAATTTTTTTTAATTTAAATGAATTTTAAACTTATAGCTCTAAAGAAAGTAATGCAACAGTCAAATGCAAGAAAAGCATTCAAAAAACTTAGTGAATATTTTGTTATGGTAAATACTGCAGATGATGATGAACCCTACGAAGAAGAATACAGACCTGATGGGAAATATGTTCCGAGAATTCTATTCTTAGGTATAATTAAAAATTCCAGAGAAAGCAAACACAAAGCTAAACATACTCAAGTAAAAATAGAATTTAAAATTAAATTACTTTAACAGATAAAAATGGTGATTTGCTCCCGGACTTCAAGAATAAAAAGGCGGAGTACAAGAACTATGCTTATTATTACCCAAGTCCTGCAGACATTTTAAATTCTATGAAAGAAGTAATAGCCCATTATGGCATTGAATTATCAAGTGAGAAGAAAGGTGACAAGCTTAAACCTGTAAAACCGCCACCAAAAAAGGAACCGGAAGCGCCAGAAACGAAGAAGGACAAAAAGAAAGTTTCTGATGATGAGACAAAGAAAGCGGAAAAAGTCAAAGAAACTAAGGAAGGCGAGAAGAAAAAAACGAAAAAAGAAAGCTCGAAAACATCAGAACTTTAAAGATCTTAACTATCTTGCCAAGTTTTATTGTTAGAATTTTTACAAATTTTTAATTGATAAAGAATTTCAGAAATGAGATTCATTAAATTTTCAATATAGAATGGTAAATTTAGAAAACAAACCTTTTGCTTAGCCTCCTTAGATGTTAAACGACTTAAATAAACCAAATCGAAACTGAAGTCTACATTTCCACGAAACTAAAAAATAATTTTTGTCAAAAAATTTAAAATACCTAATTATAACTTACCAAAACAATTGCCTCCAAAAATCGGAATAAATCTCGTAAATTGAATTCAAAGCTATTTTTCACAAGAGTATTGGTTTCTTTGAAGAGTTTGTTAATTAAAATAATTTTTGCAATAAGTTCATTAGAAAGATATAAATTTCCATTCGGGATTGTTTTAGAATATTCAGTCAAAATAAAAATAAAATCGTCGTCAGTCATTTCTTCAATGAAAATCTTAAAACATAAATTGGTATCATATACATAAAATTATTAGATACAAAAAGTTTAATTAGTTTCTATCTTGTTTATTTTAAATAGAAATTACTTACTGAAATAAATCGGTTAACAAATGATTTTGGCAATGCCCTCCGATCACCACCTTGACTATGAGGGTTTTGACAAGCGAAAAAGCGACATTTACGAGCATCAACATCAAAAGTGCGATCTAATTCGCTAATGTAAATATTCTTCCGAAAATCAAAACAAGAATTAAGGCCTTCAAGAACAGACTGAGAAGCCAGGTTCATCTTTTTAATTAAAGGAATTATTTAATCAAGCAAATTTAAAACAAACCTCATCCAATAAAATCCAACTGCCTTCTTTGATAGCTTTAAGAACTGGACCGTCACGCCAAGCAAACGTGGCTGATTTTCCATTAGATTGAGCAACAGGAACGTCTGTTCCAAACAAGTCGTAAACATCCTAAATATAATTGATAAAGCTTTTAAAAATAAAATTAAAAACCGTCTGTTCAGAAAGATTAAGTCTAATTAATTTATGACCAGTTGCTGCAGCTAATGCCATCACTAAACTTGATTTACCAGAGCCAGGACTACCCTCTAACATTATTGGCTTATTTGACGCCAACGCACGAGCAATCCGGAGTATATTTTTACAAGTGCTTGGAGAATTTATCGAATAACCTTTAGGAAATTTGCAAGCTTCAAAACTTTCGTCGGAACATCTAATGAAGAAAGGCCCAATTAAGAGGCCATAATCGTTTACAATGATATCATCACATCCAAAATGAGGTAGAACATTTTCACAAATAAAACCATATTTTTGCACAATTGTTGAAAACTAAAAAAAGAGATGAATCGAATAAATATTTTTCAAAACCTTAGCTCGACACTGCTCAATTATCAAGTTTCTATTGAAAGACATACGCTGGGGCATAACTCCTAAGGCATCTAAGAAAGTTGATTCAATGGAATGATAAAGTAATTTGACAAGCGTATTTAAATTAACATCTGAAACAATCGTATTCAGCATTTCCATAAATAGCTCCGCCAATCCAACCAGGTCTCGTAATGAAGGAGAAAATCTGAATTTAAGGATATCAATCTATCAATAAAATTTAAAATGATATTCCTTATAATAGTTAAAAATTTTTTTTAATTATTTAATAAAGATACTTTATAATTTCAGCAAGTTGATTGGTAAAAAATTCAGTGAAGTCTATAAAAACACGTGCAATCTTATCGGTTAATTCCATAGTCAATTTTGCAGATGTATCACATTGTAACCGCCGGCGAAGTATTTCTAGTGCCTCTTCTCTGTTATAATTGTTTGGACACCAAATTTCTGTAAACCGATTGCGCAATGCTTTTGAAAGCTTAATAATATTTGATATTTTAGTTTGGTTATTTTAAATAAACCTCTCTCTTTCCATAATCATTTCCAGGATTCATTGTTGCTACGAGCTGAAAACCGCAATTCGCCCTAACCAATTGCTCAATTGAATTAGAATCTCCAGAAGCAGACGAAGCAGGATTTGTTAGCAAAATTGTACGTTCCGATTCAAGTAATGAATTAAGCCTTTCAAGCACAGAATCAGAAGCTAGCGAGATCTCATCAATTAGTACACGTTGACCGCTACGCATCGCCTGCACAACAATACCATCCTTCCAGTGGAAAGTTGGGCCGATTTTTGAATCATGAAATGGACGAACACTTCCGAGAAGATCAGAAGCATCTGTTCGCTCATGGCAGTTTATTGAAAGAAGATCACCCTAGAAGCGCAAAATCATTTTATAAAAATAAAATAAATAACGTACAAAAAGATGAACGGCAGACGTTTTTCCACAACCTGTATCGCCAACAAGTAGAACAGGTTCATCACATTTCCAAGCCTCTGAGCAAAGAATAAGTGTTCGACGTAATTGAGCAGTTAGCACTATTTGTTGAGGGATGACAATATTAGGCATAAATGGAGAGTTTTGACCAAAAAGAAGATCGACGTTGATCTTACGTTGCAATTTTTGTTCCAATACATTTATAACTTCTCGTTCGTCATGAGGTGTGCGACAGCGAGTACCAAGTACAAAATATCCATGATCGGCCATTGATTGTCGCCAATCATCGACTTGCTTTTGAGAGGCAAGTCGATTAGCCCAACGGAAAATGTCTCTTTAAAAAGTAATTGAATAATAAACAAATTGTTAAATCAAAAACCTCAAAGTCATTAAGCCATCTGATGAAGAGAATATTTTTGAGATGGCTCTTCGATTACGCAGTTCATATAAAACGTCGACGGCCAATTTTGCTTGTTTAGGTGCTACACAACAGCGATGTTGAACAATTTGAGGAAGTTCAGAGAGCGGAATTATATCACATTGAATTACCATAAATCTGTTTAGAAATGCACGAGAAAGACGTTTACGACCAGAATAAGCACCAAAAGGATTCTGAGTAGCAAATAATTGGAAGTTAGGATGGGCCTTGATAGTGTAATTAAGTTCAGGGACAAAAAGTTCACGGTTGTCGTCGAGAAGCTTTAAATACAAGATAAATTTCAATTTGATTTGCCCAAAATAAATTTAGAACATACCCTATTCAATGCTTCAAGCACAGAACTAGGAGCCAAATTTAACTCGTCGAGAATTATCCAGTGGCCAAATTTAAGGGCTTTTAAAAGAAGGCCCTCGGTAAATACAAGCCTTCCATCCATATCAGGAGCGTAAGTGCCAATATATTCCTAATTCGTAAATATTTAAATGGATTAATTCAAAAACCTGGATATCAGAATGTTCATGGTTGTTAATTCGATAAACACAATTACCGCTCATTTTGGCAAGTTGAATAACCATAGAAGTTTTTCCAGCAGAAGTCTCTCCTTCAAGAAGGATAGGATATTTTCGGGTAGAAACAACATTAGCCAATAATTTTATATTCTCTCTGACTGATGGAGTAAAAACATAAATACCGTCGTTAGTAACTGGTTCGGAGCCTCGAGGAATTGGAAAACCTTCGATCAATCTGTAGAAATTGGTAAGGATTTAAAATAAAATATTTAAAAAATTACATAAATTTGGAGTCATCAATTTGATCAGCTCTTGGTGATGGAAATTGAAGAGAAGATAAACCGAATGATTTAGCCAGAATGTTAGACATCATAATACGCTGCTTTACACCAAGTTGACTAGAAAATGAAAGACGGCAAGCACTCAAAATTGAGGTAAGCTGACCATTGTTAGAATAATTGTCACAGACCATTGAAAGTGCACGGCTTAGATTACGTAAACTAAAAAAAGGAAATTAGCTGAAATAGAAAAAATAAATGAAATAAAGAATAACCTGAATTTAAGAGGAAATGAAGCAATTATTTCTTTGTAAAAATTCAGTGTTCCATCAATCAAATTTTTTGGAAGTGAAGGAAGATGACCTCGAATAAGAATATGCAATTGATCCACATCCACAATTTCAGAGACAAAAATTTCGGTAAATTTTGCGCGAATTCCAGTTGGTAATAAACGTTTTCCTATATCTGTTGCGTGATTCATACAAGCAAAAAGACGAAAGTTCTTATGAACATCAGTTGATAACTCGAGCAACTTAGAAAAATAACAAAAAATCAAGTAAAAATGAAAACCTCAACAATAACATCCAAACATTCAGCAGATGCCAGATTTATTTCGTCTACTAAAAGCCATTGTCCTTGCTCGATTGCTTCAGTGACTACACCTTTGACATAAGCAAAAAACATTCTTCGACGCCAACTTTCACCATCATCTTTATCAGAAAAATATTTAATCATTCGAGAAGTCTTCTTTGCCAATTTTATCCACTCATTACGGGCATCAGGCAATTTACGACAAATTCTAGTGCTCGACTTCAAAATAAGTTGAAGAAAATCGCCGAAACGTTGAGAGTTAAAACATTTCTGTAAAATAAATAAAAGTAATTAAATATTAATTTTTATAAGCTTACATTGACGTTATTCAGAAACTTGGAATTTTTCTCCAAATCAAACGAAATTTTGAACAAACGAAAATATTCATCAGCCAAAGGTCGAAGAATATTTAATGGCGATGTTGGCTTATATCTAAAAATTTTTTAAAGACTAATTTATGTATAAATTTATTTACCCTCCCAAAAGATCTGTAGACTCCGATTCCTGACTTAAATTAACAACACGTAAAGGAACTCGAAGTAAATGAGATAAATATTGAATTGAACTAGTTTTCCCAACTCCAGTTTCACCCGTTAAAAGAATTGGCTCTGGCGGAGTTTGGATTATTGAAGCAGCCAAACGTTCAAGTAAACATGTAGCATCACGTGTAAGAACAAAATTTGAAGATTGTGAACTAAAAAATAAAATTCTTTAAAAAATTCTTTTTAAAAATACTTTATGTCTGTAAACAATCTCCTTTCTAAATTAATTCTTCCAATTTCCACATTTTCATTGTTAACAACCAATTTAGGATGTCTAATGTTTAATAAGAAATTTTGTTCTTCTTTTGAAAGTGAAAGAGCTTCAGAAATACAATTTGCCACATCTACTTTAAGAGAAATTGATGTTAAATGAACTGCCCAAACATCGAATAATTCAAGAAAAATTGCACGAGGATCATTCAAAATATTTGTTGGAGAAGAGCATAAACGAGACAATGCAACAAATAAATCCCGTGTGTTGAGTAAACGATCAATTGATATCTTAATTGATAAATGAAATTGTTGATTTCCTCCTCCTATAGGTTAATAAATTTCTGTTAATGTAAAAACCTTTTTTGTTTTTATTAAATCAGACACTGCAATGAAAAGTGAAATAAGCTTCTCACGTATATTTTCCAATTTTGGATATTTTTGTTTAATAATATCATTTAATTGATTAAAAGAAGGAGCAGACAATTTAACTTTATAAGGATATTCTTGTAAAATTAAAGGAATTGAAAATATTTGTTGAGCATTTTCTTCAATAGAACCCAAAATACGGCAATTTTTATTCATATTAATTTTCATTCCATTGGGTAATTCAATACATTCATTATTGACAAATTGTAAAATAGCTGAGGCTAAATCAGGACCTCCATGATCGATATTTTCCAAAAGGATAAGACATTCTTGTTGTAAACACTAAAAAAGAAAGTTAATTAAAATGTTGTAGATTAATAAAAATAAGAGTAAAAAGTAGAGTTGGTCGCGGTACCGTATTACCGCGGTATTTTTCGGTAATATCGCGGTATTTTACCGAAAATACCGATACCGCAAAATCGCGTTTGACCAACACTAGTAAAAAGTTAACAGACCTGAGCAAATTTAGACGGCTTCCAAACAAATTCTCCAGGAACTTCGGTGCAAGTGTAACTTCCATATAACAACTTAATAGAAATAATTAAAAATTGTTTTTAAAATCCAATTAAACCTTAACATCAACTTGGTGGCTAATTTGTAAAATATTTAAATTAAGTCCGCATTTTTCACTGATAATTTTTGCTGAATGGGTTTTGCCTGAACCAGAAGGCCCCTGAAAAGTTAAACAATAAAAAATCTGAAAGAGATACTGAACCTGAATAACAACAAAATTTTTAACAAGAAGTAATTGAGCAATATCATCAACTGTTTTGAAAAAGAAAATTTTTTTTAAAAGGATTTGGATTTAATAAAAATTTCTTGGGTATTGTGACTTATAGTGGGTTTTTTTGGCTGGATCGATTTAGACAAATAAAGTGTCATTCGAAAGAGCTTCGAAAACTTCGAACTAGATATGGGGGAAGTCGGTCCGACAATCAGGGACCGAGTTACAGACCCCTGAACTTTGAAAAAGAGAAGGGGGAGTAAGCTCATTTTGGACTGATAATGATCATGAATCTGAAGACGGATTTTGGATACCGGACATCGTTTTCGAAATAAAAACCCATGACTTCAATAAAATAAAAACTGATTTTCATTAAAATTTTAGATGTGTAGTCTGATTGTCTACGATTTCCAATGAAGCTATTTTTAAAATTATCAAACCAAAAAAATTAGTAGACTCTCTTAATGATGAAGTTGGAATGATAAGACAATCAGCACTTTCATTAATTTTATTGTTGTTAGATAATTGTTTATGTTTTGATGGGAATTCTAATCTAGCCTTTTTCGATGCTGGCATACCTTCCATCTTTATAAAATTAAATGCGTATTTAATGTCTAAAACAAAATTAAAACAAAAAAATGAGTTAAAGTGATCGAGCTTATCAAGGGGAGAATTTTTCAATGATAAACGTGAACAAGACTCAATATGCACTTTTTATTTTTAAAATACAAAATGCCAAACAATTTAAATGACCCTCAATTCAATTTTGAAATCATGTTTGCGGGATCCCGCTTGCGTGAGCAATTTTTAAAAAGGGTTTCGGGAGTAATACCCGAGGGAATTATCCTGCAAAATTGTAGACCCGATTGATAATCTCCCGGTTGATCACTTGATCAATGCCCTCTTCCTTTTTCTCCCGCCTTCAGCTTTTGGAGTACGGTAGTGCCTCCCTGGTCCACTACTACAGAAAATCGTAAGGGAGCACGTTTCTCCTCGAAGGAAATATTCAAATATACGAATTAGCTAAAAGACAATTCGAATTTTGTGGATATATTTTACTCACCCTCGGTTTTATTGTGTGCTATTACATAAAGTTTATAATTATGTAAATATCTACTTATAATTACATAACTTATTTCATTAATTTTAAGCTAACTTTAATATTATTTTTCTTAAACCTACTTTTCTAACTATAAATTCAAAAAAATACAAAAAAATTTCCAAATATTCCAACGATTACCGTCAAATTTTCGAAAAATAAAGAGAAAAATTCTGTCGGTGCTGATGGTCAAAAGCTAATAGTTTATTTTATCCGCCGGAGAGCAATTACGTGCATCCGCGCTTTTTTATGATTTACTTGCCTATTCAGTTCTTTCAATTGTTATTTTCTACTCTTAAATTGTTGGAATCTTCTAGTTATTTTTCTATTTTATAAATTTTGAGGCATTTTACACTAATAATATTTTTGGATATTTATTTAAGTACTTTCTTAAATTTTATATTATTTTTATAGACAGAGTATATTAATTTTTAATAGAAAACCCAATGAATTTCAATTATGCTTATTGTTATTTTTCTGATGTAAATTCTCTCTCTCATTGTCTTTTAACAATTTTACGCTTTTATTACTTTCCAGATTTAAATGACAAAAATATAAAAAAAAAACCTGAATTTTTATGTTTTTTGTATTTTACTTGATGATTTTTATGTTCTCTAAAAGAATAAAAAAATAGCCGGTAAAATGTGATTAAAAGTTAATAAAAAAAGAATTCGATTTTTTAATTGCGTCAAATAGTCTCACTTTTTCGGTTGGGTGTTTTTGACCTTAAATGCATTCTTTTACTTGTTTTCTTTGTTTTGTGCATTATGTTAAGGTATTTTGTAAAATTAGCACCTTTTATTTAGCGTAAAATCATCGAGGTGAATAAATAGAACATACAAAATAATTTAATAAAACAGTCAATTTTTTTGTTTAATTTTTTTTATTTTTACGTGCGCTTTTAAAGTTGTTACTCATTTTTGTCAAAATAATGATATAAATCTATTAAAAAATTCTACTAGTTTATTCGACTAAAAATAAGTTTATTAAATATTTTTAAATTATTTAAACATTTTTTTTGTTCCAAGAATCAAAACTTTGAAATTTACAATTTTTGGAAAATATAGGGAATGTTCCACCGGAAGCAAAAATTCGGCCAGAACCAGGACTCCCGAAAAACATTAATTATTTAATGATATTAAATTACAAACATCAATTTAATGATATTAGATATTTTTTGAAGTTCCAAAAAAATTATCATTCAATTGCAGAGGCCATTCAAATAGAAGGGGAAAAAATCATTCTGTAGGTGACATTCAAATAAAAAGGCTATTTAATTAGAATAAATACGGTATACCTATGTACATATTATTAGATTTGAGTTTAAAAAATGATAATATTAAATATTTTTTATTTTCTTCAAATTGAATTTAAAAAAATTATTAAACAACAAAATGATTTAATTAAACAGTAATGACTAAAAATGATTTAAAATATATTTTATTGAAAGTAAAAAGAAAACAAAATTTAATTGTTCCTTTACTTTTACAATTTTTTCTTTTAATTTCTTCTACTCTGAGGCAAAATTAAATTTTTAACTTAAATTAATATTATTTAATATTTTAGTTTAACTCCCGAAGAACGAGCGGATATAGCTAGAAAATTTAAATATTATCATAAATCTGTTAGGCCTTCAGAAGAATTTAATATGTTAAATACAATTAATGGTTGTTTTAAATTTAATTTTCGAAAATTATTTATTTTTAGGCACATTTTTTCGTTTATTAACTCAATTAGAATTAATTGATACGAGAGAATTTGAATTTGGAGTGAGAGATTTGAAATAAATTATTTAATAATTATTTTATTTAAAAGAATTCCCCAAATTATCTTGGTTTAGAATTTTCTTTGTTTGTCCATTTTCGTGATGATAGACTACAATTTAGGGATTTAAATGATTTACCTATTTCCTTACCTGATGAATTTACTCCTTGGCAGGTAAATAAATAATGTTTAAATATATTTTTCTAAAATTATCTGGGATTGAAAGTTAAATATAATAAATTTACCGTATAACTTGTATTAATTGCCCTCCCTCAAATAGTTATCTCACTTTGAGACAATAATTACACCCCAAACAAGTACCCTAAAACACGTTCAAATTTCAAACCTCGTATAATTATTTTACTCCCTCCAGCGGAAGGTCGAAACAATAATTACCCAGGGTAGTTATTAAAAGGATATACAAAAAATAAGTTAAACTATAATAATTAATTAAAAAAGCCTCGTATTCAAATACTTCCTCTTTTAACAACACAAACAATTCAATCACAAAAAAGTATTCATTTAAATCCAAAAAATGGTTTAATTACTTTTGTATATCGGTAATTAATTTTAGAAAATTAATTTTAATTAAAAAAAAGTTTTTCTGGTCAACTTTTTTGTAATTCTGATATTTGGAAAGAACCTTTTGAAAAATATTCTTGTCAATTTTGGTTTGAAACTGAGCTTGGTAGACAAACTATTTTTTGTTATTTTAAACATTTTAATATAGATGAACGTTTACAATTAACGGTTATTCGAGATCTTCGGCCAACAGAACAAATAAATAAAATTGGCAATGAATATGGTATATACCATTATTAATTCTTGAAAAAACACCCTCTGTAGCGATGCCTTCTCGGGAAATTATCCCTGCTTTTACTCACATTTCAGTCGGGAACGCCACTATTTTTGTCTCTCTTTCATCACTATTTTTAAAATATTTAATTTTTAAACAAATAATTTTAATTGAATTTTAGAACAATGGCCCTGGTTATTATTACGTTTCAATTTTTGTTCCTCAAAATGGAAAAAAGCTTTAATTTGTGAATATTTACCTTCTTTAATGCTTTTTGTTTGTGCATTACTTGCCCAATGGAAAAGACGAAAAATTCAAGTTGTTGTGTTAATTGGTGTTATTATTTGTTTAATTTTATTGGTAAAAAAAGATTTTTTTAATTTTTTTACTTTTAAATACATATAGCACAGATTTTTTAAATTTAATTAAAAATATTCCAAAAATATTCCAATTAATTTAACTAAAATTCCCCTTTTTAAAGCAAAATATACTTTATTCAAAAAATATTTCTTCTCCTTTTTCAATAAAATTAAATTTAATGGATTTTTGGTTAGCTGGAATTTTTGTTCATTTAATTTGTTTACTTTCAATTGATTTGGCATTCCCCGCACGCCGAGTGATTATTTTTAAACAAAAAATTATGAAGAAAAGAATTAATGATAATAATGATAATATTCCTTTAGAAAGTAGAGAAATTGATAATGAATTAATTGTGGTAAATTTTGAATAAATAAATGTTTATTTTTTTTTAATTTATAGCATAAAGGAGAAAGGAAACAAAGAAGAAGAATGACAACTACCTTAAATTCAAGTAATTATTCATCTCCTTTTATTTCTACGTTGTCTCGGAAATTAGGAGTACATCAACACAAATGTTAAAAATTTTTTTTAATTAATTAAAGGATTCTTTAAAAATATTATTTGATTATACCTATTAGAGATTGAGTTGGGCCTGAACCAAAGCCTGGATTTTTCCTGTAAACAGAGTTCAAGCCCAGGCATTTTTTGACCTTCCTGGGTTTTTCCTGAGCTTGGGTTTTTCAAAAATCTTTATCCCTAATACCTATACTTAACTTATATTTTGCTTTAATAACAAGACGCATCTTGTTATACCCATTTCAGCATGTTTATATCGAAGGGCAAATTTCTAAAAAATAAATAAAAATCATAAATTACTTAAAATATTTCAAATTTTATTTTTTTTCAGTTCCAACTTTTGGCCGTCATTTACATCATCATCTTCCTTCATCCTCCAATTCATTGCTTCATCATTATGTTTCAAGCCCAAAACTCTCTGGCAATCAACAAAAACAACAAAAATCTCCAATATTTCCAAATTATAAACGACGAATTCTTTCTGGTAATTTATTTAAAAATTTTGATAAAAAAATTATTCTTCTTAACGATAAAATATGAATAAATATTATTTTATTTGCAGCTTTTTATTTTCAGTATTACCAACCTCTATATCCTCATCACCATCCTCTCCCTTTAATTTAACAAAATACATTAATCCCTATAATCAAATAATTAGAACTTCATCAGTTCCTCCATTTAAAGCTACTTCTTCCTCTTTCTCTGAGGCTGGTTAAAATTAAAAAAAAATTTAATTAAAATATTTATTTAAAGTGTAATGAAGGGAAAGAAGATGTTAATGATGAAAGAAGACAACGAGCAATAGCTCAATTACTCAACGAAATGGAAAGAATTAGAAATATTGACAATGATGATAATGAGTAATTAATTCCGTTTAAATTAATTTTATAAATTTTTAAGAGCCGTTGAAGGAACAAATAAATTAATTATTCAATCTTCTAGTCAACAAAACTCTTCTTTAATAAAAAATCAACAAAATAAACAATTTTTAAGAGCACCTCCACCTCCACCCCCTTCCCAACCTCCTACTAATATTCCTCAATCCTCCCCACCTTCACAACAACAAAATAATTATTATTCATTTAAATATCCTCAAAATGTAGCAAGACAATATAAAATTGGGAAAGTACAACAATTTTCTGATGAGGAAGAAGAAGAAGAGGAAGAATTGGGAAGAATTGAAGGTAGTGGGTTGGGAATGCCTCGACAGAAGAGGTATAATCTACTAATTTATCCTAAAATTTTTGAGGAATTATATTTTAAATTTCAATAATTATGAAATAAAATATTTATTTAATTACTTTTTCTTAGAATTCCATTCTTGGCTATCTTTACAAGTTTTTGCATTTTTCTCTGTGGTTACCTCATTTTAGTTTTGATGGTATTATTTGAATGGCTATAATTTCGAATTATTTTATAATTATTTATATAAATACATATATTGCTTTAAATGTTTAGTTAATTAATTGGATTTATGAAGTTATTTGAAAGTTCAATAACCAAAATAAGTTTCTTTGACGGAGAAGGGATTTTTTCTTTTTTGCGCAGCAAGCAAAAATTTTTAGATTTTTTGGATGGTCAAGAAAACAAAAAACCTTCCGTCCTCTGTCGCAGAAATGTACGAGGAGGGCAGAAAAAATTTGGGTTGTATTATGTTATACTGGAAGTGTATTTAAACTTTTTACCCAAAAAATTTCCCGTGCGCTTTAATATTTAGGGGCCTCCGGTATATTATATTCAAATTTTTCTACTACCAGTATACAACCCGAAAATTTCGTATACCCGATTTTTTGCAGATTCCCATTTCTTTTAATTAATTTTAGTTTATATTAAATTTAAAATTATTTAAATTTATACTTTTTATTTATTAATAAATTTTTTTTCTTAAAAAATTATTTTAGAAAATATTATGACAAAATTGATTTTCTGAAAATATGTACTATTTTCTACGTGGAATTTAAAAAAATGGGAAGTTAAAAAATAAAAAAAATTAAAAAATATTTTTAAATAAATAAAAATATATTTATTTATACATAATTTTATGATTAAAAGTTAAGAAAAGGAGAGAGAATATATTTTTACATTTTTTTAATTCCAGCAACAATTTTCATAAAAATAATATAAAAAACTTAAATATAGAAAAGTGAAGAATTAAAAATAAATATGAAAGTATCGATATAACGAATTTTAAAATAAATAAATATTAAATTAAGATTCAGTTAATCAATTGTTATATTTGATCAAATCTACTCGATGAGTTCTTTCGAATGATAAATAACTCGCTTAAGTAATAGTTACAAGGCTAACTAAAACACCTTTCACCTCCTACTAATATTCCTCAATTATCCTTTAATTGTTTATTATCAACATTTGTGTTGCTAAACAATCACTATGTATATTTATTCAAAAATCCAACACACAAATTTATTTTATAATTTTTATTATTTATTTTTTTAATAAAGGAAGAGCCTTTAAAAGTAGTAAATGACAACACCAAATTGATACTTTTGAATATTCTTTATTCTTAATTTAATTTAAAATGTATTTTTATTTAATTAATTTATTTATTTTAATTAAATTAATTAATTCTCAAGACTTATTTACATCTTCCGCAGAATTACAACAATTAGTACATGTAGAAAAGGAAATTCCAAAGATTATAGAAAATTATATTTTATTGGAAAATAAACGTTTAGAGAATTTAAAATGGTATCTTTTTAATCAGGAGAGTTGTGGATACATTCAATTAATATTTAAAGAAAATAATAAATTAAATAGGGGTAGTTAAAATTTAAATATTAATATCAGGGATCGCACCGACAGAACACCAAATTCACGATTTTCAGGAATTTCGTGAATTATGCTTTTTTGTGGGGTGATTTTGAGGATATTTAGGAATTTCGAGTATATAGGAGTATAATGGGTTCCCTAAATCCTCTATGAATCCCTCAATATCTCCTACACACCTAAAATTATCTTGAAAAAAGTCGGGTCAAATTTCGGGTCGAAAAAGCCCATGTTTCGGGCTAGGGTAACCCTGATATCCCTGGTAGGGATGGGGATATTCTATAATATTGATTTATAAAGATTTTTCCTAAAAAATTAATTTATTTAAATAATTTTATAGTATGGCAAATAAATATTTAAAAGAAGAAAGTGAATTATTTAAATTGGAACCAAAAAGTGTCTTAAATCCTTTAAATGCTTTTAGAGTAATAAAAAAATTAACAAAAACTTGGAAAGAAATTAAAAAAGAAATTCAATCAGATTTGGCCGAAAATTATTTAAAAAATATTTCAAATCAAAGAGAAACTCGTTTTCCTACTGAGGTGGATTTTTTTGATTTTTTTAATTAAAAGAAAAAATTAGAGAGTTTTAAGAAGTGATTGGGAATTACTAAATTATAAGAAGAGTTAAAAAAAGGAGGAGCACTCGAACTTGGTACGAAGTAAAACTGTGGTAGGAAAATGTATTTTTGTGTTTTGGTGCCAGTAGTACTTTTAATTACCAGTCCGGTACTTGGACTGCGGAAGTACTAAATTGTGTCGAAAACTAGTTTTAAGCAGATTCTTAAATCGGGGACTTGAAATGAGAGCTGTAAACTTATTTTTCCTATCCTACATGTATTTTTTTACTTTTTAAAAAGGAGGATTTAAATGGAGCAATTCAAGCATTATTACGCTTACAAGATACATACAAATTAGAAACTAAAGATTTGGCTAATGGAATTCTTGAGGATATTAATATAAACAAACAAATGGATGGTAATATTTGGTTATTAAATTATATAAAATAATTATTTATTTAATTTATGTAGCAAAGGATTGTTATGAAATAGGTTTGGCTGCCTATAATGAAGAGGTTAGAATTCTTTAGCTTTGGAAATTCTAAAAATTTTGTCTGCAAAGCAGATAAAGGGAAAATTCCTCCTAAATACTAGATCTGAGGACGAAGCTAGGATTTTGAATTGGAGCCAATTTTTTAATCTTTCTTTTCTATCCTACTGATACCAACCATAATTATTAATAGAGGCCGCGGAGTATAGGGGCGTGGCTCCTCTCACTCTGGGAAGAACGACGTCCTAAAGCTCGACTCGAAGCCTGAAGGTTAATCAGATACACCCCTTCTTCACTTTCAATTCGTTTGAAAATAAATGAGTGGATAATTTGTAATATAATTAATTAAAAAAGGATTATTATCACTCAATATTATGGATGGAAGAAGCAAATGAACGATATTATTTACTCGAAAAAGAATCAACAGAAATTAATAAATCTGATATTTTAAATATTTTGTCAATTTCTTTATATAAACAAGGAAATTTAAAGAGAGCTTTAATTATTAATGATAAATTAATTGAATTAGGTAATTGAGAATTAATTAAATTTAAAAAAATATTTAAAAAAAAGATCCTTTATATCCAAATGCAACAAATAATTCAAAATTATATGAACAAGAATTATTAGCTAATGGAGTTGTTGAAGAAGATTTTCGTATAAATATACCTCCATTAAATAATTATAGACCATTAAACGATACATACTATGAGTCTGTTGATCGTTTGGCTTATGAAGAACTCTGTCGTGAAGAAAATGAAATTGTTTGTTAATTGGAATTAATTAAAAATAATTTCACAATTAATTCTTTAGAATATAACAGAAATATCTAAACTTTATTGTTATTACAAAATGGATCGTCCATTCCTTCGATTAGCCCCAATTAAAGTCGAAATAATTCGATTCGAACCTTTAGCTGTTATATTTCGTAATGTTATTTATGATGAGGAAATTGAAATAATGCAGAATATATCATTACCAAATTTTTTTAGATCTCCGTTTGGAGAAAAGATTGTAAACAGTCGTTCCAAATTTAGAATTAGCAAAAGGTTTTGTTTGAAATAATTTACTTTTTATTTTTAATTTTAAGTGCTATACTTAACATAAAAACACATCCAATTGGTAAACAAATAGCTAAACGTTTGAAATTAATGACTAATTTAAATATGAAGTCTGCTGAACATTTACAAGTAAAATAATAATTTTTAGAAATTAAAAAAAGTTTCTATTTAAAAGATGGGGAATTATGGAATTGGCGGATATTGTGAACCTCATACCGATTTTCCTCAGGTTTATTCTTAATATACATAAATTAGAATTTTAAATTTTTAAAATCGAAATTCTGGTATAACATAAAAAATACATATTAAAAATTTTAATAAAAATATATATTTGTTAGAATACAAACGATTCAAATGCATCCATGGGTAGTGGATACAGAATTGGAACAGTTCTTTTTTATTTAAGTACACCAGAAAAGGGTGGATATACCGCTTTTAGTAATGTAAAAACAATTGCTAAATCAACTAAAAATGATGCTCTTTTTTGGTATAATTTGCGCAGAAACGGAGATAGAGATTTAAGAACAATGTTTGGTTTTCTTTAAATATTTATGCATTACTTATTTAGGCATGCATCTTGCCCTGTTTTGCTTGGCGAAAAATGGTTCACGATTTCTTGGATACGCGAAAGAGGACAGGAATTTTTTCGTCCTTGTGGTTTAGATCCATCAATACAAGAACGCTATGTTGGTGATTTGGGGGGTCCAGAGCCCCGAAAATATCCAAATATATCACCATATTGAAAAGAAGGATTATATTGTGAATGAAAATAATTGTGATATCTATCTATACTTTTGATATTTTTAAAAATATTTTGGTTTATATGTACAGTGTATCATTATGTTTACGACCACTTGTTAAAATAAAATAATAAAATTATTTTAGCGATTGGGCTCAGAAAATTTTCCCCCGTGGCATTTGGGGCCTTCGGCCCCAAACACGCTGGTTAGTAAGTTACTGTGTTTGACGCCTGTGTTGTGTTTAGCATGTGCGGTAGGTTGTCCCGCTGCTTTAGTGGCCTTTGGCCCCCATATACGGTGGCTTGATATTTTATATTATACATATGATATTTAAATATAACTGTTTTTGAAAAAAAAGTTTTTATTTGTATAGTAGTAAATAATTTATGTTTAGTATTTACTCTGTAAAAGAGTTGAAAGATTAATTTAAATTAACAAAAATAAAATTAAAATTTTTCAAAAATATCACAATTATTTTCATTCACATATAATCCTTCTTTTCAATATGGTGATATATTTGGATATTTTCGGGGCTCTGGACCTCCCAAATCACCAACATAGCGTTCTTGTATTGATGGATCTAAACCACAAGGACGGACAAATTCCTGTCCTCTTTCGTGTAACCAAGAATTCGAAACCCATTTATCACCAAGCAAAACAGGACAAGCAGCATGCCTAATTTATCAACAAATTAATATTTTTTAATACTCCAAAAACCTCGTTCTCATATCACCTTTTCCACTTCTCCACAAATTATACCAAAAAAGAGCATCATTTTTAGTTGGTTTAGCTACAGTTTTTAAATCAGTAAAAACTGTATATCCGCCCTTTTCTGGTGTACTTAAATAAAAAAGAACTGTTCCAATTCTATTTCCATTAGAAATTGAATTAATAGATGTCTCTGTTATTGCTTCATTCTCCTATAAATATATTTGTTTTTAAATTAATTATAATAAAAAAATTTAGTAAATACCAAAGCAAAGTCATAATGGGATTCATAATGTCCACCAATTCCATAATTTCCAATCTAACAAAATTAATAAAATAATATTATTTTTTAATTCTTTATCAAGCTTTTTTGAGGTTTATTCTAAAGCTAATTTAGTTAATAACCTGTAACTGTTCAGTCCTTCCCATATCTAAACTTGTCATCATTCCTATACGTTTATCTAATAATTCTGTCGTTGGATTTTCATTATTTCTTAGCCAAGCACTTTAAAATTTTAAAATTAAAAAAATTAATAATAAAAAAAAGAGATATTCCACCTTTTACTAATTCTATAGGAAGCCGTCATTGGATTTCCAGTTTTTGGGTCCTGAACTTTCGCTTGTCTAAGTTTTGGCTTAGATAACTGTTTTAATATTTCAATTTCTTGATCAGCAATAATATTACGAAATATAACAGCTAAAGGTTCGAATCGAATTATTTCAACTTTAATTGGGGCTAAACGAAGGAATGGACGATCCATTTTGTAATAACAATAAAGTTTAGATATTTCTGTTATATTCTAAAGAATTAATTGAAAATTAATTTTATTAGTTAGTCCACAGTCACCGTCGTGGCTGTCACTAAGCTAATCCCCATCAAGTGGGGAAGGGGTCCGACAAAAACCAAAAGGGAGAGGAAATGCCGCGGTAAAGATCAAAGGGAGTGGGCACAGTCACCGTCGTGGCTGTCACTAAGCTAATCCCCGTCAAGTGGTGGAGGGGTCCGACGAAACCAAAAGGGAGAGGGCATGCCGCGGCAAAGATCAAAGGGAGTGGACACTGTCGTGGGGTGGAAGGGTACGATAAAAGGGAGAGGGCATGCGGCGGTAAAGATCAAAGGGAGTGAGTGTCCAATGTCGTGGGGGAAAGAGGGTTAAGAATAGAAAATTATGAAAGAGTAAGTAAAACCAAAAGAGGGAGTGGGTAATTTGTAATTAATCGCGGCTGGCAATAAAATTATGTTAAATCATCTTTACTAGATTACACCCTTGTAAACATGTACCCATATCATGTGAACCTATATGTGATTACCTAGCTTATACGTTATACGGTATGTGATTATTGAGGCAAGTGATTACGCGGATTGATACATCAAGTGATTACCATACTATGATTATTATGTTTTATATCTTTAATAATGTTTTGTTAATGATTACACGTTAAAGTGATAGCTGAAAACTAAAATTCTTTATTTTCAACCCCCAATTCCTTTTTTTTTGCTCCCCCAAAATTTTGCCTTTGTTTTTAATAAATTTTGGCAAGTTTCAGATAATGACCTTGACCTAATTAGAATTTAACCTTAATCCTTGATTTTTTATTAAATTTAAAAATTTTTTAAAATTTTCTCTTTGATGTTGCCGATATTTTAAATTTATGCAAATTAACCTTTTAAAAACTCTTTGAAGATGCCGCCTATATTTTAAAATTTTTTATTTTCTCTCTCTTAAAATTATGCAAATTAATGTTTTAAAACCTCTTTGAAGTTGCCGCCTATAAAAAGTTTTTCAAAATATTTGATATAAAAACAAAGATTTTTTAAATTTATTTCTCATTTGTATTCATTTTACAAAAAGTTTAAATAATTTAAAATATTTATTAATTTCATTTGCTCCTCATCTTTTTATTTTAATAGGAGCTCTTTTTGCTCCCCATAAATTTTTGCTCTTTATTCATAGGAGCTCTTTTTTCATAGGATTTTTTTATTGAATAATGGACTATATTCCTCCAACAAAACGCGCAAGAGCGTTCTTTATTGATAACCTCCTCTCTATTGATCAATCAGGAGGAGGCACTGATCTACAACAATATATTGAACAACTAGAAAATACAACGAAATTCATTAATAAATTTAAGATCACCAAAAATTATTCCAAATTCGTTATTCAGAATATTCCGGCCGACCCTGAGGCCTTATTATCAGGAATATTCCAGCATTGCTTCAATGAGGCTATGAACAACGCGAAGAACAATGGACTTGAACCAGAGGAGCTGAGTTGCACAGTAACAAGTGAGTTATTAGATTCTGATATATGGATCCCCCTTAGGCCCTCATCACAAAACACTTTCAATACCCTGCTTAATCAATTTAATAAGGTTTCTCAGAGTAAGAAGCAGGCTGGTATTACCCTATGGGGAAAACCTTTTTCAGTTAATGTTATGGTTGTCGACAAGAAAAATTTGAACAAGGAAAACAACATTATTGGAGGAGCTCCCCGAAAACTTGCTCCTATTCATCATCAGATCAAGGAGCAGAATTTAATCAAAATTAACAACAACAACGATAGTTACTGTTTATTTTATTCTTTATTAGCAGCACATGTACGACTCATTGGCAACATGTCTCGTTCTCAATTTTACGACTACATTCATAGTCGTTTCGGATCAAGAGGACGATTTGAGAGGGAAACATTGGAGCTGATCAAACATGTTGGAGCTCCTCTTGGTCGAGAGGAGTACAATGCTGAGGAATGGGTTCCTCCTGTGGTCGACTTTTGGAATGAAATGTATACAGGCCAGTTTTGTTTTAAAGTTTTTATTTTTGACTGTTTGGGACACTACAAACCATGTTTCAAATATGGTCCTGATAATTATAATTCCCCACTGCTCCTATATTTTGATGGTTCCCATTTCAACGGAGTAACGAGTACAGGAGGACTTTTCGGTCAACCTTATTGTTTGGAATGTGAAACAGTGTATCAACGCCCACAACAACATTCTGCTACATGTCGTGCACACTGTTTGAATTGCTCCCGTGTTGGTCCACTTTATCCCTGCCCTCCTAGGAACAATTTTTCCAAAAAATGTACCGGGTGCTCCAAGATCTTTAACAACGAAAATTGTTTTGATCATCATTTGAGTTCACGATTTTGTCAACAGTCCAAGCGGTGTGAGAAATGTGGCGTGATCTGGGACACAAAAGTCAACAGTAAAAATGGTAGGAGCGGGCATGTTTGTAACGAGCGCTATTGCTCAACCTGCTCAGGATACCACGACCCAAAGCGCGGATGTTTTATTAAGCCTTTGGAGCCCAAGGAGCAAAAGCTCTATCGATTCGTAGCTTTTGATCTTGAGACAATGCAACATGTCTCAGATGGAAACAACAAAAGAAATCATCAAGCAAACTTTATTGCAGCAAGAGTTACATGCCCCAAATGTATCGAGGAGCAGCAGGAGCAGTGCAAAGTTTGTGGGAGTAATAAACTAGTAACCTTCTCGGAGCGCCCATTTTACAGAACACGCGTGGATCTACAGAAAGTCACCGAGGATCCAATCATCTCCTTTGTCAAATGGATAATTGAATTAACAACAGACTACGACACCATCGCCTTTTCACATTTTGGAGGGAGGTTTGATATGGTAATAGTTTTCAGGGAGCTCTTTCTTATGGGTTTTACTCCTAAAATGCTGAAGAGAGGAAATAAAATGTATGAGATGAAAGTGAAAATTGGAAAGAAGAGCATGCTCATCTTCAGGGACAGTTTCAACCTGATGCCAATGTCTTTGGCATCTCTTGTCCCAGCCTTTGCTCTAGAGGTTGAGGACAAACCTTTCTTTCCCCACCTCATCAACCAGCCTAAGAATTATGGAAAAAATGTGTTTCCCGTCCCCTCCGACTACTTCGCAGATGGGATGATGCCAGAGAAGAGAAAAGAATTTGACCGATGGTATCAGAGGAACAAGGAGCTCCCATTTTACTTGGATGAGGAGTTGGCAGCATATTGCACCAATGATGTGGAAATACTCCTAGCAGCTCTTATTGCTTTTAGACGAGAATTTATGGATGTGACAAAACGAGCAGCAGGTGAAAGAGCTGCATCAACTAAGGCCCACAATGGTATTGACGTTTTAAGGGAATCAATGACCATTGCATCCGCATGTATGAACCATTTTAGAACTAACCATCTGAAGGAAAATCACTTGGCTTTGGTTCCCGAGAAAGGCTACGATAATGTGGATAATCAGAGCAAACTTGCTCTGAAATTTATGAAATGGTATGAGGAGGAGCATGGAGCAAAAATTCAAACTGCTCATTCAGATGGAGGGGAGAAGAAGGTTGGTAACTTCAAGTTGGACGGATGGATTGAGGAGGAGCAATTAGGGATAGAGATTAATGGTTGTGTGTGGCACGGGTGCGAGAGATGCTACCCGGAAGACAACACTATCCTCCCTAATGGAATTTCAGCCGGTAAACAACGGGAGAAAGATGCAAAGAGGATGGAATACATCAAAAGTCAAGGAGTAAAAGTGCAAGTCTTTTGGGAGTGTGAAATTAGGAGCATGTTGGAAAAAGACAGAGAGATGAGGAGCTCCTTCAAAAAGTATCTGGATAATGGCCCAATTGATCTACGTGCATGCTTCTTTGGAGGACGTACTGGCCCACTTCAACTTTTCTACAAACCAAAAGATGGAGAGAAAATATCATATTATGACGTCACCTCCTTGTATCCTTTTATAAATGTATCTACAAAGTATCCGGTGGGACACCCAAAGGTCCATATTCTCAACGAAAATGTTTACTGGAGCAAGCCGGAGGATAACAATTTTGGATTGGCTATTCTGAAAGTCTTTGTTATCCCTCCGAGGAGCATTGATATTCCTGTGCTCCCAATGAAAGTAGGAGAAGATGATGAGAGGTTGCTCTTTCCTCTCTGCTCCCAATGTGCTAGGGAGCACCCTGAAGGAGGAGTAAATGAAAATTACTCCTGCCCGCACTCAGACCAGCAACGTGGTTGGGTGAGTACATGCACATCGCTTGAATTAAACGCGGCTCTAGAGGAAGGCTACATCGTCACCAAGGTGTTCAGAGTTTTACAATATGACAGCTCCGACGACAAATTGTTTGCTCCATACATTAGTGAATTTATGGCAACAAAAATTCACTCTTCGGGATTTGATAGCTCTATGAAGGGGAATTATGAGGAGGAGGAGAGGTTCATCAATGAGTGCAAAGAGAAGTTTGGAATTAATATAGAGAGGAGCAAGATGGGACCAAATAAGGGGAAACGTACTCAATCCAAATTAATGTTGAATAATTTGTGGGGGAGATTTTCTTTAAGGAATTTTGGGCTATCACAATGTGCTATCACAGACAACCCAGCAGAGTTACACAAATACTACAACGACAAATCAATTGAAATCACTGGCTTAGATGAGCTCACACCAGATATTTTGCTCATCTCCTACATCAAAAAGAAGGATTGGATTGAGGAGCACAATTGCTCCAATGTGGTCATCTCCTTATGGACAACTTCAGCAGCGCGAATTCATTTGCTCCGAGCAATGCAAAAAGTTGTCCGTTCTCCAGGGTGCTCATTGCTCTACACAGACACTGACTCCCTAATTTTTGCTCATCCGACCAACTTATGTCCTCTTCCTCTGGGGCCTCACTTGGGAGAATTTACCGATGAGTACCCCTCTCACAATATACTGGAATATTGCTGTGGAGGAGCGAAACAGTATGGCCTACAATTACAACGCAAGG